TCCAACACCACTTGGGTGTCTTACAATTTAACTCAATTCTGACACTACCTACCAAGAAGCAGCACTGGATCCCAAAAGCTGCCTATAAATTGGAGGTTCCCAAGACCTCCTCCTCGAGTTTGATAATTCACTGGAGTAGCTCACAGAACTCAAGAAAACAGTTTACTTATTATATATTGGTTTATTGTAAAAGGATACAACTAAGGAACTGCCAGATGGAAGAGATGGATAGGAGCAGGCGTGGGGGAAAGGGCTGTTTCCAAGCGCTCCTCAGGCATGGCACCCTCCCACACCTTCACTGGTCATCCATCTCAGGAGCTCTCCAAACTCCTTCAGTAAGAGTTCTTTATGGAGGCTCCATTACACAAGCAGAATAAATTAAATCATTGGCCACTGATCACTGAACTCAATCTCCAGCCATTCTCCCTTACCTCTGGAGGTGAGAGGAGGGCAGGCAGTGAAAGTTCCGACCTTCTACAGGGTTGGTTCTTTATGCAACCAGCCCACAGCCTAGGTGCCTTCCAAAAAATCATCTCATTAACATAACTCAGGTGTAACTGAAAGGGGCTTGATATGAATAACAAAAGACATTCTTTTCACCGTTTTGCTCCGGAGCTATTTCAGAAACTGGGAACAAACACTAAATATAACAAAATATGTCCCTATAGCTCTTATCACTTAGGAAATGACCAGGATTTTAGGAAATCTGTCCTAGGAATCACCAAATGTCTAGTATTTCTAGTTTTATCACAGTATCACCTATGTACAAACTGAACTTTGCAAAATCAATTTCCCACATAACCAATTGACATTATCTGGGACACACAGTTATCAAAGCGACACCCATCACTTTTAAAAATTGTAAGCTATTACATTGTAATTTTGTTGATACTCTGGATCCCCAACAAACCTTTAGATGATGGTAGTTGTCTGTATTGGGAGGGTCAAGGAAAAAAGTTGTTTCTATTTCCTTAAGCAATTAATTATACTCTTGTCCAATTAAAATAGTATTCTTAAGACACTTTTTAAGTGAAGAAGCATAATTAAACAAGTCTCTGAATGGAGAAGAGCCCAGGTGCCCACGATCGTTTTCCCAATTGCTCAGGGGGCACTGAGAGCCCTCCTCATAGATACTTGCAGTAACACGATCGATCGAGTTTGAGTGGACAGAACTGGGAAGGGCATAGAAGTCTTTCTGGTCTTCCCAGTCTCTGAGTCAGTTAATCTAAACAAATGACAAAAAGGTTTCCTTATTTTATAAAAAGAAACTAAGGATGTCTGGCTTAAAAAATACTTTGGTAAAAATACTCCATTTCTCCATTTGTGGTATGCTCATTCACCTATATCTTTATGCTCAAATAGGTTATTGTCTCTATATGCTTTTCAATCTTTTTGTGCTTCCTGTGGTCGGACAGTTTTAATAGTTTCTCTTCTCACCATAACATCAAGGGTAATTTTAAGCCTTTAATGAAAATTGCCACCTCCCTGGAGAAAACCATGTTTTATGAAGGGTTAAAATCATTCATAGGGGATGCCTGGGTGGCTCAGCGGCTGAGCATCTGCCTTTGGCACAGGTCATGATCCTGGGGTCAAGTCCCACATTGGGCTCCTTGCATGGAGCCTGCTTCTCCCTCTGCCTGTGTCTCGCTCTCTCTCTGGGTCTCTCATGAATAAATAAATAACATCTTTAAAAAATAAAATCATTCGTAGGAAGGTCACTCTTGATAACACTGCTTTTAGAGCAAGGACCTTGTTTCAATATACTATTCAGGTAATTGTTTAAAACTCTCTGGGAAACAATTTTATAATGTAAGGAAGCCTCTTGCATCTCAGGTGATAAAACTTCTAATTTAACTGGTTTATGCACGTTAAATGACATAGTCCTAGTTAAGTCCTATGTAAAGTACTCCACAGGAGAATTACTTGCAGAGAGAGCCGGAAGAAAATGCTTATCTAGTTTCACTTTGCCCTTCCCTCTCCGGACTCCTTATCACGTTAGTCATCTACCAAGGAGAATGGAAGCAAGTGTGGTGAGAGTAAATAGAGGTCCCTTGGGCCTCGTGGAAAGTCTGGCAGTAAGCACACATTCATTTGAAAGGTAACTTGTGATTCAGGTCATAGGTAGTCAGAGCCAACTCCTGTAGCTGAATAAGCATGTTGAGAACAGTCCTAAAACTGGGGCTGGGGGCGGGGAGGGGGGAGCAGAGGGTGGCATGTGCCACTGCAAGCAGGTCCATCGCAATATAATTAAGCTGGGACTTGGGGTAGAAGAAGTAGGTCAAAGGCAGCAGCTTCTAGTGAGGGGTATTGTGCAAACAGAAGTGGGGAAACAAACGAGAAAGATCAGAGCCAGGTGTCCTGTGTCCCCCGTGCTAAGTGACCAGGGCTGGGCTGGGGACTGGCCTAACCAAATCTAGTGCCATCTCCTCCAGAGCCCAAGGCCCATCCCAGCAGGACCTTTGCTCCCCTGCCTGTCCATCATATGTGCGTGAACAGGGTTGTGAAGAGATCTACGGCTCGAACTTGCGCTACGTAACCCTTCCTACCAGCATGTAGGCACATGTGGAGCAGAGAGCGATCTCCGAAGCAGGTTTGGGGATGGTTAATGGGAAACATCTGTCTGCAGGGCCAGATGCTAAAGATAATTAGGGGAGAGGAGAAAAAAGTGAGGAGATGGCAGGGTGACTATCAAAGAAAAAAAACATGAATATAAAAACATTTTACACACAGAAATAGAAAAAAGAAAAGTGCAAAAATAAGCTACTTTGTTCTGAAGGAAAGCCAAGTCATATTCTTAGCATAAGCCAATGGGTAAAAAATTAAGAGAACCTTCACATCACTCCTTTACGCTTTTTTTAAAAAAAAGATTTTATTTATTTATTCACGAGAGACAGAGAGAGAAAGAGAGAGAGAGGCAGAGACACAGGCAGAGGGAGAAGCAGGATCCATGCAGGGAGCCCGACGACGTGGGACTCAATCCCCAGACCTGGGATCACACACTGAGCCAAAGGCAGACGCTCACCTGCTGAGCCACCCGGCTGTCCCAATTTTTAAATGAAAATACACAACGGTGCAAAGGTTATAGTAAAACTGAGAAACTCATAAAAACCTTGTAAGTTAACCACAACTTTTTTTTTGAATACCAATTTGCCAATAACAATCAAAAGTTTTAAAATTGTCATAGTCTTCGCCCAGTAAACTCCTGGACATTTAACCTTGGAGGAATAAACCAAATATAGACATTACATAGACATCACATATATCTATGTAAAAATATTCACTGCAACATTAATTTTAATAGCAATTTTTTTAATGCGGGCTGGAGACAGAGTAAATGTCTCGAAACAGAAAAATGATTAATTAGGACACAATAACCCAGCAGAATCTTATGGAGCCATGAGAGGTCATAACTACAAAGTTCACATAGTAGCAGCAGGAAAAATGATATAATTGGCAATCTTTACTAAATATCTCTGGATGGTTGTCATTACTAGGTAAAATATTACAAAGGCCAGGAGGAAACGGGGGTGGGTGGGGAGCTGAAAGTTGATCTGTCAGGAACTGTAGAATTATGGGTGACATTACTTTCTCTTTAAAATTTTCTTCACTGGCTTATTGTGTGTCCATCAAACATATTATGGGTTTGGTAGGGCTAGTGATAAAAGCAGAAACCATACAATGAAAAGATGGAGGCTCTTAAGAACTTTTTCAGCTATTTTTTTTTAAAGATTTTATTTATTTGAGAGAGAGAGGAGTGGGACGGAAAGGAAGAAGCAGGCTCCCTGCTGAGCAAGGAGCTCCATATGGAGCTCAATCCCAGGACCCTGAGATCATGACCTGAGCAGAAGGCAGACGCTTAACCGGCTGAGTCACCCAGGTGCCCTAGAATTTTTTCAGCTATTAATCAAACCTTTCTTTTCCCTTCATCCTCCTCCCTTTGGAGAGCTCCACAGTGGTCTCAGGCAGGGGCCTAGAACCATCACTTGTCAGCCTCCATGCAGGACCCTTCTTAGGCCTGAAAGCCAGAACTGCTAAACCTACCCCAGTTGGCCCTCTCTCACTGCCCATGCACCACCATGACCTCAACCTTACGGGTTTCAGCTTTTCCCCAGCTGCCCAGGCCTCGCCTGCCCTTCATGGATCCAAAAGCATCAAATGTAAATAAAAGAGCGGCAGTGCAGCAAGCTGCCTGCTGCCAAAACTTGAGATTTCCCACTACACACCAAGCTATAATTAACAGGAGGTGATGCCAAAAACAACAAAGGAGCTTCAAGGAAACTGCTAAAATAATCTCCAGTTTTTCACTACATACACATTCTTTTCTACTCACCCACCCTTTTCTATTCTCCCTATTGTACTCAGAAACTCTTCTGAAACCACCAGATTACAGAAAGACACTAATCGCTACTGCTTAGTGGCAGGAAGGACGTGTGCAGAAGCTTCACAGAGACCACATACAGAAAGACAACGTAGGTCACTTTTGAGAAAACAGAAAAGTTGTTCTTAGAACCAGAAGGAAATTAGATAATCCCAGCCCAGGTTACTTAATGGGTTTCAGACTGTGTGTGTATTTGTGCGTGCGTGCGTGCGTGCATGTTGAGAGGATACAAATGAAGTAAGAAGCAGCTACCAGGTCCTCTAAGGACAATCTACAAGAACCCCTCCAGTGTGAACTGGTTTGAGGCGGCATGGAAAAGACGAGTTCTGTATGGTTTCCGTTGAGCCCCATCATTCTCTATCTTCAGAAAACTTCCCTCTCCAAATAGTATTCCTAAAAAATTGCCATAATATCATCCTCAGTTACTACTCAACCCCCGAGGAAGGATTTTTTTAGAGAACTAACCCTGTCCCTTACCCCCCATCCTCCCTTGACTGTTTGCAAGCCCTTTGGGAACCACCATGATACTGGAGGCAGCAGAGCTGGAACTCCAGTCAGGTGTGGAAGCCAGCAAGGAAGCCATATGCACGGTGTGCTTTTGTCCTTCTCTGTAAGGACTTACCTTCATGAAAGGCAATGTGATCTCTTCTGTCACAAGGGTTATTCCAGGAATTTCCTATGGTAGGGGAAAAACACACAAACATGACTGCTAAATGTATCAAGCACCACAAGCTTGAGCCTCCAGGAAGTGTTTTCTGCACAGACAGAAGCTGAGGGCAGCTCCCAGTTTGCTAACCTCTACTTTAAATAAACTTTGGGGTTTAAAAATAACAGGGAACACAACCCATCTCTTGCGTTGGGAAGGGAAATATTCTTTAAAGTTATGATTACAATAGAGGACAGTGTCTCTGAAGGAAAGGAGAAGCCTATTAGGAATACAGAGCAAATAATATATTATTTACACATTTCTATTTAAAAACAAATGAGGCAAACTACATTTGCACCACCAAATAAGGGAGACATGTTCCTTCCTTATTTTATTGCTTCTTCCTCCCTCTTCTTTTTTTGCTTAAATGTATTATGTTATAGTTGGCCCCTGCCTCGCTAGAAGGAACCAAAATTGTCCTTCATTCAGTTATTTTGGAAGTGTATTTCTATATCATTTGTGTAGACTAGCCTCTCAACTAGTGAAAAAAAAGAAGATATATGAGAAAATAATTCAGAAGGTGTTATGTAGAAATAAAATCTAGGGGATCCCTGGGTGGCGCAGCGGTTTGGCGCCTGCCTTTGGCCCAGGGCGCGATCCTGGAGACCCGGGATCGAGTCCCACATCGGGCTCCCGGTGCATGGAGCCTGCTTCTCCCTCTGCCTATGTCTCTGCCTCAATCTCTCTCTCTCTCTCTCTCTCTCTCTGTGACTATCATAAATAAATAAAATTTAAAAAAAATCTAGTGACATCAGAGAGGGAGAAAAACCATGACAGACTCTTAACTACAGGAAAGAATCTGAGGGCCACTAAAGGGGAGTTTGGTGGGTGGATAGGGTAACTGGCTGATGGGAATTAGGAGGGCACGTGATGTAATGAGCTCTGTGTATTATACACAACTGATGAATTACTGAACACTACATCTGAAACTAATGATGTACTATGTATTGGCTAATTGAATTTAGATTTAAAAAAAGAAAATCTGGTATTTGTTTAAAACTTAAATGTACTAGATTTTTACTGACACACAATGTTCCTGTGGAAAGGAGCACCACAGCAATGGAGAAATAAATTTCCAGAATATTAAAAAAAACCGAGTTGTTCACTGTGATCACAGAAAGCCTGTGTTGAGAATGCACTTTGTGTTTCACTTATCACTACTTGGTAAGAGAATTCAAAAAAGTATTAAAATTTCACTAAGCTTTAGGTTATAAAGGGCATCTTAAGATAGATATAACAAGGGACACCTGGGTGGCTCAGTAGTTGTGTGCTTTGGCTCAGGGAGTGATCCCAGGTCCTGGGATTGAGTTCTGCATCGGGCTCCCTGCATGGAGCCTGCTTTTTCCTCTGCCTGTGTCTCTGCCTCTCTCTCTTTCTCTCTCTCTGTGTCTCCTGAATAAATAAAATCTTCAAAAAAAAAAAAAAAAAGTAACCTACTCAAACCACCTGAAGTTTAGAGCAACATGGTTAACCCTAAAATAAGCTCAGTATAAGTATAACCCTAAAATAAGCTCAGTATATGGTGGTTATAACCGTGGGTTGTTTCTATTATACTCTCACAGGACTTCCTGCCATCACTCTCTCTGTCTATAATAGCTCCTCTGCCCCAGTCATGAGAAATGTCAAAGTGAGGAATTGCCTGGCAAGATGAGCCTCTCTCTCACAAGACATCCAGTTAACATATGCTCCATCTTTAAACACAACTCTGGGAACTAGGGGGGTTCCCAGTCCTCACCTCCCAGACACAGACATGGAGGATGATAGGGTTGGGTGGTGAGGGAAGGACACAGAGAAGAGCATTTCCTGACTCCTTGTGGCTTAACCTGCAAACTTCCTGCCACATCACCAGAGAGGCTGCATGTATATTCACATGAGTTCTCAAAGCAAACAGTGAGGGCTCAGAGAAAAACCAGCTCACCTTTCCCTTGTTATTCTACAGTCAGGCAAGAAAACTTCATAACTGATAACAGTAAAAGGCAGAAGGGCTTTTAGGGAAACACTACCCCTGTGCATACCGAACATTCAGAAACGAATCAGACATATCTACTATTTAGATAGTCTAAAAACAAAATGGGCAAGTGTCACAATTTATCCCAGCACGTATTCTCCAATGTGTTAGTAGAATTCAATTTATTTTTCTAAATGCCTTTTTGATACAAACCTCTGCCTTGAGACTAAGCATATAGTTCTAACATTTAAATAGGAAAGAAGAAACCCTTTTCAGGAGCAGCTGGTACATGATTTTCACTTTCTGATCCAACAAATATCAGTTTACTATACCACGCTCAAGAGAAAATAAACAATATGTTAGCTCAGCACTCTCAACTGAAAAATAGGAAGGACGGACCAGAAGGAGGAAAAGATTGAGGGCAGTGAATTTGCTTGAGATTACGAACTTTCACTGATCTTGCAGTTCTACCATTATTACAGATTTTCCTTATGAGGCTCGGAAAATGGGTCAATCTACTTAGTAAATAGAACAGCTTACAATGACAGCAGTGGTCTGGCCATTTCTCATTTATAAAAACCTAAGGAATATTTTAATCCACTCCAGTAGCTAAAAAAAATTAAAATGCCATTTGAAGATGACTTATTAAATAAGAGGCTTATTTCTGCTTAGCAGTAAGAAGAGTAACACATATTCAGTACTTTCTCCTTTGATTCTCCTATTTTATATAAATACCTTTGACTAACAGCAAAGATTCACTATTGTTTTGCTGCCAGAAAACTCCAACTCAGATCCTCATCAGTCAACACAAATGAAATCACAGCCATGGGTACTGTGACAGGGATGTCCTACAACTTACCCATGACTGTGAATCAATTTTAGTTACATAAAGAATACAAAGTGTTAACTTACTGTATTCCAAGTGAGCACTGAGGAATATGGCAAAAGTTTATCTATGTTACTTGTCTCTGGATATATGCTCCAATATGAAGAAGCTGAGTAGATTTTTGAAAGAAAAAAAAAGACATGGTTTAATAAGAAGAATAAGGCAGTAGACACTGCAATTCATCAAAACAATCAACCCCCCAAAAAGGTTTTATTGCCTTATCCTCCTTTTGAAGATATTCAAAAGGCTAACTTTATGGTTCTACCTTATGAAATGTTCAGGTTCTGTTCTTTACAATGAGAATAATTTTTTTAAAATTAGTTGGCATTTCTGCCTAACCCAAAGTGACATTCTACCATTATACACAGAACCAGCCAACACAAGAAGTTTTTATATCTTGCCAGGGGGGAAGAAAATCACTAATAAGGTTAGAGAATCAAGATCATATTGAATCTCATCAGTCTCTGAAATGTCGTAGCTTCTCACAAGACCACGAGAGAATGAAATTTAATTAGCTGCTGACTGAAATAGAGTAGGGAAAAAAAAAGCTTCTAACCAACATTTTGACAGATTGAAGCAGTATCAATTTGCTGTTTTCCTTCCCGCAAAAGGGTCAAGGACTCAACTTAATATGCACCATCAGCAACACCTACCAATTATAAATTCCTGAATGAGGTCAAATGAATGGCAGGTGGAAATGTTCTCAGAAATCCACTGAATAATCTTTAAAAAGAAAGAAGACGATTCTGTTGGTATTTACATCTGCACCCGGCCCCCACCATTAAAGAAGTACAAAATACACGTGAATCTTTTAAAATTCTGTATCTACTTTGGAACCGTCGAAGAATACACTCACTTCTCTTCGAGACATGTAACACAAGACTGTGGCTTAAGCAGTATTATAAATCGGGTCCATTTTACGTATCTTTTTTCATAAATGCCCTTGGTCGAAATCCAAATAAGCCTTCCACCCCTTGTTTGTTTTTGCTAGGGTAGGTCATGTTATATAGCAAAGTATGAAGAGCTGTGGGATACAGAAGAAAGCCAAACCAAACCAAATCACAGCACAAAGCCCGAAGGCAGCAGGCCTGGGTTTGAATCCAGCTTAGACAACAGTGTGAACACTGTCACACCACTTAACCTTTGTGAACATCACTATGCAGTCCTCCCAAAGGCAAGCTGTAACAAGTCTATCTCCACAACCATCCTCACCTGCTGGTGTACCGAAATTTCTTGTTCCCACTCTAGAAATGAAGGATACTGCTACCAGTAAGTTGTTTTTATTTCAAAACCTATTCATGCTGGTTGTACTTATCTTCACAATTAGGTAATTTAATAAAATATCATCATAAGGGAGTGAAACATGGATGCAAAAAGACTGTTGTTTGCTCAATAAAAGTTTAATGCTTTGGAAAGACTCAAAGGCATGTCTAAAACACTAAAAAAACTTCGTGTGAGACAACTGTAAAGATTAGAAAAAATTGCCCAATATATACGGATTATTTTGAAGGGATCTTTAAAAATATGGCTCTCAGGTTAAAAGAAGAAGAAAGTAGTAGGGTTAAGAAAAAAAGGAAGAAGAAACTAACAGGAAGTAAGAGACAACACATTACTAGTAGTTTTATGTAAGAAAAATGATTTTGAACTCCAACCAGATAATACACAAAGGAAGGGTCTTAATCTACGTCAAAAGAGACATGAATAAATGTACTTTTTTTGTTTTAGGTTAAAATAAAATGTTTAAGGTATCTTTCTTCAATTACCCAACCACCCATTGGTCCCAATCAATTCTAATAGGGGGGTTTCTCCAACTTCACAGGATAGCTGTAAAATTAAATGACAAAACATGTAAAAGTGCTTCATAAATTAAATCATGTGATATAAATTTACAAATATATTTATTAATAAATGAAATAAAATCAATAAATAAAAATATTTAATATTTACTTATTACAATGTAATATACATTGTGATGTATATTACAATAAATTAATATTTATAATAAATATATGCCAGTAGATTTTAGTTCTTCTGATACTATACACCAAATATAGACCAGGAAAAATGTAGGTATTTGAGAAGCTATTCAGTATTTACTGAACACTTTCTTGGAATGTTACTGATGTACCTAATATTTAGCACAGTATGGAAAAGAAGAGTCAGAAGAACAGACATGCTCATAGTCTGAGGTCTGATTGGGGTCCATATAAAAGAATCACAAGAAGAGAATACATTCAAATCAGGACACAAACCATAAACTTCAATTAATTATTACCAAATAAAAGTGACGTCTATTCATTTCAACCACACATATATACAGTTGGTGTCTATTTGCCAATTTTTAAACTGAAGCTACATCACCACCTTGGCTTCCAGGAACCGGGGGTCTCGGCCACAGGAGAGCACACAATGCAACACGGCCATCTTCTCACAGTCTAGCTGAGTGTTCCATAGGAACTGTAATAAATAGGACTGGTTGAGGAGTGCCCTATAGAGTTTTCCAGAACACCAATCCAGTACCAGGGACCCTGAGAGTGACTGTAAAGGACTATGAGGTAGCATATCAACCACTTCATTGTTTCCTGGCAAAAAAACAACAAAAAACAAAAAAACAAACAAAAACAAACAAAAAGGAGGTCAGCAAATAAAAGAAACCTCTCTCACCCAAACATAAACATGGCCAAGATAAACCCAAATGGACAACGTTCATGAGGGAAAAACTATAGCCATACCTGTCAGAAACAAACTGTGGCAGATCAGGTCTGGATGCTGAATGTTGAGCAGATGAAAGAAATGACCAGGTAAGTAAACAGCCACATAATAGTCTAGAAGAGAGAGCTATAAGTTATCTGCATGTAGCAAGAGCTGCACAGGCAAATGTAAAGCCCAGAATGTCACAGTATCCCTATTTTTCTTTGAACCATTTAAATACAAAAGTTTTAATCAATGTAATAATAAACCATCTGATGTCGGTACATTTCATCTTACTAGCCAGCTCTCATTTATTTCTATCTGTGGCTAATTTTCTTCATACGTTTAGCCAGGGTTATCTTAACTGATATCTGTAATTTTGTTTCTAAGTGAAGTGTGGCTTCATACGAACCTACATGGCCTCAGAAAGCAAATTAGAAAAAAAAAAAAAACAAGCAATATGAATTATTCCTTTTTCTGGTAGGCTGGGAATAGCTTAGAAGGGGATTTCCATCCTAGTTTCTGCCATTTGGGGGAAGCTCTAAAATTTTGTTTCCTATGTTTGCCCATTCATCATCATCATCATCACTATCATCATCATCGTTTCACTTAGAGAACCCTTAAATCAATAATCATCAGAACAATCTCTGCAGTCATTCTAACACATTGTGAGGTACTAGTGTATTTCCTTGCATAGTGAGCTGCCGAGAATTCACACCTTCACGGTCCTGGTATCAGATAATTTTGTACCGAGAACACTTGTACACAGATTGAGACAAGGTGTAAAAATAGATTTCTGGAGAATGGTAAGGTGGAAGTAGCCCTTGCCAATAATGTTTCACACGCAATAGCAGTGAATTTCATATAGATGACACATTTAGATTATAAGTGAGCCAGCTGGACTCTTTTTTCTTAAGAAGCAAAGAAATATATGCTAATCATTTGCATTGAAGGCATTCGGAGGAAAGTAAAGAGGATGTAAAACTCAGATCCACTGGGGCAGTCCCGGTGGCTCAGCGGTTTAGCACCGCCTTCAGCCCAGGGTGTGATCCTGGAGACCCGGGATCGAGTCCCACATCGGGCTCCCTGCAAGGAGCCTGCTTCTCCCTCTGCCTGTGTCTCTGCCTCTCTCCCTCTCTCTCTCTCTCTCAATCTCAATCTCTCTCATGAACAAATAAATATCTAAAAAAAAAAAACAACCCTCAGATCCATTGACTTAAGTAAGTGTCCTCTTGATCACTGTGGATTAAGTGATGTTTAAAATGAGTAGCTCAAACGGTTGCAATAATGTTCTTCTTATGGCAACATTTAAGTAGAAAACCATAAATAATGATATAGTAAGGTACAGTCAAAACGGTTTGGGTATCAAATGACCTAAATTAACTTCTAGCCCTAGCATTTAACCAGCTAATTAGGGTGATAACTATGTCCCTGGAAGAGGAGGCATTTGGAAATATAAGAGGGTGTTTCAAGTTGTCACAATCATTGGAGTGGAAGGAGGAGTCCTACTGCTTTTTTGGTGGAGGTTGTTAAATCCCTCAATGCGCAGGACACTCTCACACAAAAAGTATCATCTCATAAAAAATGTCAACAGTACCTGTGGTAGGCCAAATGATGACCCTCAAAGACATACATGTGCGAATCTCAGAGCTTGTGAATATGTTACCTGAAGTGATAAAAGGCACCTTGGCAGATGGGATCAAGGATCTTGAGATTCGAAGAGTACCATTATCCAAGTGGACCCAAGTAACTCCAATTATGTTTATAGGAGGCAGACAGAGGGAGATTGAGCTACAGAGAAGATCATGTGGGGATGAAAGGGATGGGAGTGATGTGGTCACAAGCAAAGAAACGCTAGCCTCGAGATGCTGGAGGAGGCCAAGGATGAATTCCTCCCCAGAGTCTCTAGAAGGAACCTTTTCTACCCATACTTTCACTTTAATCCCTCAAAACTCATTTCAGAACTCTGATATCCAGAACCAGAAGACAATGTTTATGTTGCTTTAAGCCCTAAATGTGTCATAATCTGTTATGGCAGCAGTAAGAAACTAACACAGGGCCCCTGACAAGAGACACTCAAAAGAGCCTGGGTACACATCTCAGTCTTTCTGAGCTTCAGTTTCATTATCTGCAAAATGAGGATAACATCACCAGCAGAATTGTAAGGATCAAGATAATTGAAATAACATGCTTAACATATAGTATTCATTTTTAAAATGGTAGCTTTTTATTTACAAACATATCTTATATAGAGATATTTGGGTTCATGGAAAACTTCCCCCAACTCTATTCTTTAATATTTTTAAAAGATTTATTTATTTATTTATGATAGAGAGAGAGAGAGAGAGAGAGGCAGAGACACAGGAGGAGGGAGAAGCAGGCTCCATGCAGGGAGCCCGATGTGGGACTTGATCCTGGACCCCGGGATCATGCCCTGAGCCGAAGGCAGCACTCAACTGCTGAGCCACCCAGGCGCCCCTATGCTTTTATATTTTAATTAATATAAGTCCCTTTTAATAGGGTGACAATTCAGGACAACTGCATATAATTCATAAGAAAAAAACTACATCACTCAAAAAGCAATACTGTTGTCATAAAAATTACTTCTGGAATAGTTTTAATCTTGGATATAATTTTGTGCCGAGAAGATGAAATGCTTTTAAGAAGGAAAGATAACTTATGTAAGAGCCTATTTTTACAAAGCTCTAGTATTTCTGCTGGCTCCACAGTCCGAAGACCATAGATTAAATCATGCCTGCCCTTTTCTAGAGTCATTCTCAAGGGGAAAAAAAGGAAGGCTACCTTTGACCTCACGAAATGCTGGAGTTTTTTTAGTGGAAAGTTTCCCACATCACTCTTGAGATGGGATGTTGATGTAGCATTCTCTGATAAGAATCAAGTCTCAGACCCAGGAAACCTTATATTTATCTCTCTTACCACAGGAAGCAGTAGAATCAGGCCTCTCTAAGGCAATTTCCCACAGGTTCAAAGCTCATGTTAACATTTACCACATACTGGCCCACTCAGCATTCACTATCTTACCTCATCTACAGTATTGTTCAAAAGAAAAATCTTTTTTATAAACTTTATCATTTTCATTCTCATCTTGCCAACTCCCCTCCCATCACAGCTTCCTAAACCTTTGTCATAATAGTCGACAGACTGGGGAACAGGAAGAGGGGAATGTTATCAAAGAATCATGTGCTCTGCACACCTGAAGCTTTTCTTTTCTGAATACTGTGCCATGTCCTGTAGGTGGGCAAGTAATAGGCCTGTTATTCGGTCTTGTGATAACCTCTTTGTGCCCCTCATCCTAACTGACATGGAAAAGCCACTTTCCGTAGGTTGGTACAATAAACCCCCTCTTGATTTTCTTCATTATAGACTCCATTAATATGTTCAAACCTAACACTCAAGTTCCCTTACCATATTTACTCAGGGAAAATCAACACATTCAAGCTGATCCGTGAATCATTTATAGGACTTGGAAGCTCTTAGCAATTAGCAACGGGGAATGGACAATGTCTCAAAGAACTTTGTCCTCTCTAGAATCAAGGGACAAGATGTATTATTTCTCATAGGCTTTTAGGGAACGCCCCACTCACTGTCATCACTTTTTTTTAAAGATAGGTAGATAGATAGACAGACAGATAAATCTATCTGAGAGAGTGAGAGAGAGCGCGTGCGTACAAGTGGTGGGAAGAGGGAGAAGCAGACTCCCCGATGAGCAGGGAGCCTGGCATGGGGCTCGATTCCGGGACCCCAATATCATGACCTGAGCTAAAGGCAGACACTTAACCAACTGAGCCACCCAGGTGCCCTGTTATCATTTTTTATACTAACAAATGGCTTTTATAGTATTACTACTAAAAACATAGGAAAGCTCACAGCCTAGGTTCTCTATAAAGGGAGATGCATCCCTTTCCAAAAGGCTGACCTGAATGGGGGACACAAACATATCCATTAGGATTGGTCTATAGGTCTAGAAAAAGATATAGGTCAGGAAAAATATATTATAAAAATAGTAACTAACTTAATACAGTTGACCCTTGAACAACAGAGAAATCAGGAGTGCTAAGGTTTTCAGAAAAAAACCTTCCCCTATCAGGCTTCATAAAGGCCAGTGGTTATCATCACAATCCAAGTCCTAAAGAGGCAGGAGAAAATGGGGCACACAGGCAGCAAAAAGAGATATAGAAGGCTGAGTATCACACGTACTAGAAAGGAGAGTCAGAGCAGAGAGATGCACCTCTCTCTCACTCACCAAGGTTGAGAAAAGTAAGGCCCTTAGTCACAAGTGAGTCAACACTCCCAAGAGCAGCAGTGAAGGTCTTGCTGTGCCCTGTGGAGAGAGAACAGGAAACCAAGGAAAGAATGGTAAGAAACAAATAGCCGGAATTCCACCCAAGGCTATTATTCTATGTGATACTCTTAATATTCAGGAGCTGTGAAATTGACAAACCAAGAGTCTCTGATTTCTGGATTTCACGGTTCTCCATCATTCTTTAAAAGCCAGCTCGGAAGGTAAATCACACTGCAATCGGGACCCAGTAATTGTTCTGGGCTTAGCATATAATATTAGATCTTATAAGGTGAGCTGTGTGGGGACAGAAGGATCTAAAGGAATCTACCTCAGGATCCAAGAGATGGAGGAGACCAGGTGGCTCAGTGGCCCTCACGGTTTACTGTACCTTCTTACCATCATTAAGATCCTCTGAGACTTCTCTCAATCATTTAGGGTAGTAGACTCTCTCTTCACTCCCCACTTTTCTAACTCTTCATCAGAATTAGTAACTCTTAATAAAACTTTCACGGAAGTTTTATTTATGGTTTTAACCATTATATTAATCATTAGAAAAATCTATGAAAACTTTCCACAAAAGAAAAATCCAACTTATGCTATTAAAGCATGTCTACTTCTGAAGTTGCTTTTAACACCTTCATTATTAAGGTGTTAAAACTTTTTTTACCTAGATTTTTAACTTCGGAAGATACTGTTAGATAGTCCTGCAAAATAAACTCTAATATGGCCTGGCATAGTTATTTTAGTTTTAAAAATTTCAAATTAAGGGATCCCTGGGTGGCACAGCGGTTTGGCGCCTGTCTTTGGCCCAGGGCGCGATCCTGGAGACCCGGGATCGAATCCCACGTCAGGCTCCCGGTGCATGGAGCCTGCTTCTCCCTGGAGCCTGCTTCTCCCTCTGCCTGTGTCTCTGCCTCTCTCTCTCTCACTGTGTGCCTATCATAAATAAATAAAAAAAAAAAAAATTTCAAATTAAAAAAAATTAATTCTATCCACAGTATGTACTACATGAACTAATTTTAAAGAACTAAACAAGTAAAATAAATATGCCTTAGCATGATTCAGACTAAAACTATTACAGGTACACTGGCCAACTATAGAACTGAAAAAGCTTGGATATTTACTCCTCCCCCCAGGCTGACTGCTGACAAATCAGTTTCCTGGGCTGCAGATATGTGAAACAAAATAAAGGTATCTTAGGTCTAAGACCTGTTGAGATCAGAGATGATGGAAGCTTTTAACTAAAACTCTGTGTAACCCTATAAGTTAAATATATTGATGTTTTCCAACTAGTAATAATAAAAAAGCAAGCAAACACATTTTGGACAAATATGTCCATAAGTATTGGTCTAACTATAAGCCTAGAAAAAATATAGGTCAGGAAAAAATATATAAAAATATTAGCTAACTCAATATAGTTTACCCTTGAACAATAAAGAGATTTGGGATGCCAATCCCTGTACAGTCAAAAATCCATGTATAAGTTTTTAGGGAGTCAAAAGTTAACTACCAATAGCCCACTGATGACCAGAAGCCTTTCTGATAAGATAAACTGTCAATTAACACATATTTTATATGTTACTTATATTGTATATTGTATTATCATAGTAAAGAAAAATGTTATTAAGAAAAATCATACAGAAGAGAAAATACATTCACAGTACTATACTGTATTTTTGGGGGAAAAAAAAACCGTATATAAGTGAATCTGCACAGTTCAAGTTCATGTGGTTCAAGGGTTAACTGTATTCTTCATTAGTGAATTTCTCCAGGAAACATGTATTATAGAAGTATAGAATGTACTGATAAACTTATTACAAGGTAATAAGACTTCTAACTTGCTACTATGTGGAACAGTGATTATGTAAAAATAAAAAAATCAAGAATAAATGACATGTACCTTTATGAAAGTAAAACACTGAATACGTGATTTTTTCCCAAGAGTCAAACTTCGGACTGTAACATACACACAAACTTCCTAGAAGTAAGAAGGTGTTTATTAGAGGTGAAAAGAACCATAGACAAATAAAAAGTTTCCTAAGTCACTTAACCTTACTTCTATTCCTTTAGATGTTTCTACTTCAACTTACCTCATAGATTATTCCCAAATTCTAGAACTGGTTTATTAACAAGCTGCTAAGAAATTTTAATTCAACAGTTACTTGGCACACACATATGTATTGTGGTGAACTATGGAAGGAGAGGGAAATGAATAGAGATACACTCCTGCATATAAAATCATGGGGGGGGGGGAGAATCCCTGCGTGGCTCAGAGGTTTGGCACCTGCCTTCGGCCCAGGGCATAATCCTAGAGTCCCAGGATCAAGTCCCGTGTCAGGCTCCCCGCATGGAGCCTGCTTCTCCCTCTGCCTGTCTCTCTCTCTCTCTCTCTCTCATGAATAAATGAATAGAATCTTTAAAAATAAAAATTAAAAAAATAAAAATAAGTTAAATCATGGGAATCTAGAGAAGTTTACAAAGAAGATTCTCCTAATATACATATATTGCCCTGCTCTCTCATTTAAGTTGTCTTCTGGCCATTACTAATCATCATAGACCTGGGTTTATCAAAATGCATCTCCTCTTTAAAGAGAGTCTCCAGCCTTATTTTTATCTGGAATTGGAAGGCAAACTGGGGTAGTAAGAGCAAGTGTGTGTTGGCCCATACCCACCCATATTTGGGTCACGAGAGCCTTGGCCGAAGTGCAAAGGACAGTGCTCCTGGCACAGTAGTCTTTCCAGATGAGCCCTGACACCTTCCCTTACCCCATAACTCCAGAACACCCTCAGCCTTCACACTCTCTGGAATATGAGGAATATTCCAATGTGGAATATGTCCATCATCTCTAGCAGCTGTTGCCAGATATGTAGGCTAGATAAACTCAACAAAGACCTACCAAGGAGGGCATTATGCTGAAGCTGAGAATTTTAGTGCTAACATTTATGTGATTATGTGAAACAGGAGGTTTCCAGGGTGGAAAGGAACTTGACTGGGTCTAGAGTGCTGGGTTCTACTTCCAGAGCTAAGATTAACTAGCTGTGTAAATTCAGTCATTACCTCAGTGAACAGCAATATTTCCTGTTATACTTCACTAGGTCCTTTATCAAAGAATCATGGTGGCAAAAAAAAAAAAAAGGCCAATCTTCTCTAAGAAGGCTATTAAGGACATTAATGAGCACTCTGTTATAATGGTTATCATTTGTGACCATTTTTAATGACATTTAAAACCAAACCATAGGGACGCCTGGGTGGCTCAGTGGTTGAGCATCTGCCTTCGGCTCAGGGCATGATCCCAGGGTCCGGGAATCGAGTCCCACATCGGGCTCCCCATGGGGAGCCTGCTTCTCCCTCTGCTTATGTCTCTGCCCCTCTCTCTGTATCTCTCATGAATGAATAAATAAAATCTTTAAAAAAACCCATAACATATTGTTAGAAGTATATTTCATTTTTTAAGTTTTCTTTTAGTTATTTAAGAGAGAGAGATAGCAAGAGAGAGCATGAGCAGGGAGGAGAGGGAAAAGCAGGCTCTCCATGAGCAGGGAGCCTGACCCAGGGCTCCATCCCAGGACTCCAGGATCATCACCTGAGCCAAAGACAGACGCTTAACCCACTGAACCACCCAGGCGCCCCTATTGCAATATCTTAAATGCAAAGTAACAAAAAAGAAACATTTTCTCAGGTAAAAAATAGTTAATTCTGTTAGATGTAAAATTACTGTTATGGTTACTGAGTACACAATAATAACTTCTCTTTAAAATTACAGCAGACTAAGAATCAAAGTAACACTATACTAAAGCACAAACAAAAATAGTAATTATAACAGTTTAAAAAAGTTCCATGTACCACTCTGACTACTTTCATAAAGTAAACATACTACCAGCAAAAAACTACTGGTTTAACCTGTCCTTTTATGTTCTATGATCACAAGGAGGAAGAAATTTTTAGCAAACATAGTTAAAAACTTTAGCCTGTTAATCACAAAATAAAAAATGTTTAAAGGCACCATATTTTTCCTTTCAAATTAGCAAAAGTTTTAAAATGATAATTCTGTCAAGGGAGCAGTAGGAAGAACATTCTCACATAATAAAAAAGAGAACTAGTACAACCCCTTGGAAATACAGTTTTGTAGAGGATTAAATATATTCATACTATCGACCCAAATTCTTCTTGTAGGACTCTATCCTAAGGCATGAACATGAAATGTCAACAGTATAAAGAAGATTATACCCTCTATTTTAGCCAAATCCTCCATACACCATCCTTTAGAGAATGGAGGTCATCATTTTTCTTGTTTTGAAGAAAATTACAGTGAGGTGTAGAATAGATGTACCTGATTACATACACCAAGAGCCATCTTCAGATCTCATAAGCAAATATTTCCAAGTTAGGTTGTGACTTAGTTCCCTTTCCCAAGCCCAAAGGGGGAAAAATAATATTAAAGACACAGCAAGGTGACATGGGATGTGATGAGACTCTGCAAACCTGTCCCATTGATAGAATTTTCTTTGATAATTGAAATATTTTACATCTGTGCAGGCTAAATTGGTACTAGCCACATGTGACTATTGAAGCACTTAAAATGTAGCTATTATGACTGAGGAACTATTTTTTTTTAACTTTAATTAACTTAAATAGCCACATGTGGCTACCATGTTGGACCATCCAGCAATGGAGTGCTGGTTCTCAACCTTAAGAGTACATTGAACTCACCTGAGAGTCACAGATTCTCAAGCTCCCCATTACATCAACTTAACCAGAATCTCTGAAGGTAAGACTCAAGCATCAGTATTTATTTATTTTTTTTTTTTAAGGGAGAGAGAACGAGTACTGGGGGGAGGGGCAGAGGGAGAGAGAGAATCCAAAACAGGCTCCATGCCCAGGGAGCAGACCCTATGTGGGGCTCTCTCTCACGGCCCTGAGATCGTGACCTGAGCCAAAAACAAGAGTTAGATGCTCAACTGACTGAGCCATCCAAGCACCACAGGCATCACTATTTTTAAAATGTGCCTGGGGTAGCATGCTTGGCTGGTTCAGTTGGTGGAGTGACTCTTGATCTCAGGGTCATGGGTTCAAGTCCCATGTTCGGTGTAGAGATGACTTAAATAAGTAAACAAACTCAAAAAAATAAATGAAATAAAATGTGACTGGAGCAGATTAAATTCTCCAAACCTCAGTTTTCTTGTCTCTAAAGAAAACACAGAACCTACCTCATACGGTTCTTAGATAAGAATTAAATGAGATAATATGTATAAAGCTCTTCTGAAGAAGTGTTATCTAGCTATAAAGGTTAGCTGTGATTATCAGTATTCCAGAATGATTTTGCTGCTATTTGCAAGTTAGGGGAAGTCGCAGTTTGAAAAAACAAAGCATGCTCTTAATGGCGTATCCAGAAAGAGATGTTTAATAAATATTCATCAATGATGAAGATAAAATCTCAAAGTTGGCTAGCCTTTGGGAAACTATTTGGACAATGAAAGCTATTATGGACAAAGTTTTCCAAGGGAAATTATCTCATTGTAAAAGGCTCTATAAAATGCTAAAACACAAGGCTAATTCTGGGAACTTGTGAAGGGCAACTCTTGCAGTTATACGAACGGGAAAGAGAATGTACACTTTTCACCCCTCACTACATCCCAGTAGGTTGTGCACAAGAAAGAATATGGCCACTGACTCAAGCACAGCTGCACGGTTGGACTATTAGATGGGACAGGAATAAGAATATTTTCTTTCCTTCACTGCTTTAGGAAGTCTCTGATTTACCCTCCTGCTAGAACTAGTTTGACAAATCTACATAAACTCAATCTTAATACAGAAGTAGCCTGGGGCACCTAGGTGGCTCAGTTGGTCAAGCATCTGCTTTCAGTTTAGCATGATCCTGGGGCCTGGGATTCAGCTCTGCATCCAGCTCCCTGTTCAGTGGGGAGCCCACTTCTCCCTCTCCATCTGCCCACCTCGCTTGTGCTCGCTCCCTCACTCTCTCTCTCAAATAAATAAAATCTTAAAAAAAAAAAATAGAAAAAAAAAATAAAATCTTAAAAAAAAAAAGGAAGTGGCCTGACAACAGCAACAGCTCTTCTGCCCCCTCGTCACCTCTCATGAGCACCCCCATCATCCAGGTTTCACCCTCTAATTCATTGGAAGGTAGTGGATTTCATTTCTTAGGGCAGGAAAATTCAGGTCAAAGATGCTTTCAAGAATGTAACAAGTAGTGGTGAAAGGACAAAGTAGCTCCCAATGACCAATATAGGACAAAGGAATATCAAATATTCTTACAGCATCATCACGGATGCAAAATTGAGTTTGTTGAAGACCCTGATCTGTCAGCATTCATTTCATGAACCACGTTTTCTGGTCCCCATGCCCTCGGGAAATGAAGCTCTGTAGTATAGAGAGCCATATAGGGATGACTATTTGTTCCCTTCTTCATTCCTACTTCATTGAAGTAGGGTTTATTTTTTAAGATTTTATTTATTTATTTGACACAGAGACAGAGAGCACCAGTAGGCAGAGTGGCAGGCAGAGGGAGAGGGAGAAGCAGGCTCCCGCTGAGCAGAGAGCCCAATGCAGGGCTTGATGCAGGGGGCGCGATCCCAGGACCCTGTGATCATGACCTGAGTTCTAAAGGCAGATGCTTAACCGACTGGGCCACCCAGGCGCCCCTGAAGTAGGTTTTTATTTGTTTAATCACAAAGGTGAAAAATCATTTGTAAAAAGCAGTTTGGGGAAATACATGTGCTGACAGTTTATTAGTTAAAAATCAAAAGGTCACTTCTCTGGTTTGTTGCATCTTAACTTGGGAAGCATCTCATTTGAAACAGGCTTATTTCTATTGCAAAGCTGCCTGTGGAGAGCAAGGCTCATTTTCTACTTTCCTATACGTTGCCGAGAAAGGGAAGAACAGACTCTTCTACTTCTCATGCAGATAAACCTAACATTTCATGTCACAGATTGCCCATTTATAAGTTACAGCTGCTACTGTTCAGGAGAAATTCCTAGGGGCATTAGAATGAAAAGGAATACAAGCTTCAAAGAATGAGAGCTTCAAATGATTGTTTATAGTCAACTGATTTAAAGACAAAGTACTAGGGAAGAGCCTACCCCGTGCCCTCCGTGGGAGCTGGATCCCATTACTGCCCACCTTCCAAGCAGACTAACTCTACAAGTTAGTTGTTCCCCTCTGCTGTGTTCTCTTGCCACTAAACAGCTTGTGAGCATTCAAGCATACGGGAGTCTCTATCACCTTCAAAAATAATATTCCCTACATCTTACTAGCCCTTCCAGCTGCTGTCTCGCTCATGTCTACACCTGCTGTGATATTTTTCAACTCCCACACGCCTTTTCACCCAGCACAACCAAAATTTCACCTCAGTCACCCAACACAACCCACTCACAGTGACCTCCGTGCTGCCAGACCCAGTGGACTCCACCCCTCACTACCTATTAACGGCTAGTCACTTCGACCTTTGTGAGACCGCCTCTGCCTTTGGCTGCTTAGTAAAACACTTGGTTTTCCCCTCCCTCCCTCTCTCCTTCCACCTAACCTTTATGTATTTTGCTTCTTAGATCCTATTCCTTAATTTCCTCCCTTTTGACCCTATAAACTCCTCCCATGGCTTCAAATGCCAAACTACAGTCTTAAAAACTTCCACATTTATTCATGTCCAGTCCCAACCTCTCTTCTAAGTCCCAGATCTCTTAGTTAACGTGTCCAAAAAACCCCTCACAATCTCCATTCCAAAGACCCACCCAAGCCACTATACCTCAGTACATGGCACCACTATTCACCCAGTTGCTTATGCCAGAAGCCTGAGAAGACGACAGCAAGTCTTCTCAGTTCTATCTCCAAATGCATCTCAAACCCATCTAGTTACCACCTCTGCCATCTGTCCCAGTTCAGGCCATCCTCCACCCAAATGTATGACAACTTCATCCTATCAGCTCACCTCCCCACTTTTTCTCTTGCCTCTTCCAATCCATTCTTCACACAGCAGCCAGTAATCTAAAAATACACATCTAATCACATCACTGCCTGCTTAAAACACTTCAGTGAAGGGGCATCAAGGAGTGCCATGTGAAAAGTTGTTGCGGAAAGGGCAGTCATGTGATGCCAAAGCAATAATTCACAGATCACTCACACAGAGATTAAAATGTACCTTTTCAAGAGAGATTGACAGTGGTTACCATGTAACTAAATGACCAAACTTAGCATCATAAATAGTTAAGACATCCTGACATCCTGACATTACGTGCCTCCGGATCTGGTGCAAATAAATTTCACAATATCACCCATGACGTATTCTGATGAAAAAATTTTAACCTATGTGTAATGGTGCCTTTCAGCCTAACTACCAATATACAGAGAATGTGGAGGAGAGAGGAAGAAGTTAAATACTTCCACAGGGAAACAATCAGACAAATCCAGAATGCAGGACATTCCACAAGGTAATTGGCTTGGACTCTTCAAAATATCATTGTTGTGAAAGAAAAACAAAGTGGGTAGGGAGTAGGGGTAGGGAAGTGATCTACATTAAAACAGATGACAAAGACATAATGACCAGATACAATACATGAGTTTTGATGGGATCCTGACTTGAAAAGTTATATACATGCATACATTTATCATTTATATACAAATACACATAGAGACATATATAGCACATATGCATATATATACACATATAGAAATCTATACATATAGAGGACTTTTTTGAAATAATTATGGAAATTTGAATATGAAATAATTACTGATTAATGTGATTAATAATGGAACTGAGGTCTTGACCTAAGGAGATACATGCTAAATTATTTAGCTGTAAAGTGTCAGGATGTCTGCAACTTACTTTTGAATGATGTAGTCAAAAGGAAGAATATGGTACCTATGTGTGGAGAATATGATCAAGCAAATAGTGTAAATGATATGGTTAAGTAAAAGGTACATGAATGTTCATCCTGTTCTTGAACTTTTCTGTAATGCTTGAGCATTCTCAAAATTTTAAAACAACAACAACAAAAGAAAGCCCCTTTAATGACTTTAGGATTCTGAGGATTAAATATAAACTCTTTCATGATCTGCAAGGCCCTACATAACCTGACTCACGCCTACTTTTCAGCTCTTCCCCCCATCCTGGTCTTCTCCTGCTTGCTCACTCTAGTTCAATCACACTGTTCTTAGTTCATATACACACTCTCCAAGTCTCAAGTGAAACATCACTTCCTTCCCTAAACTCCCCAAAACTGGTTTATGGAGGAACTTTGGCCTGAGAGAGAATGGAAACAATATGCTGGATTATGAAGTGAGGTGGGAAAGGGGACAATTTTTAGGATTAAGACTGAATGGGATACAATAAGACCAACAGGGACACACTGGCTGAACTAGAACATATTTGAAGATACTATCATTTTCCATTAAACCTTCATTATAGATATGCTCATGACTTTCCAATTCCTACAATTTCTCAAGATTCTATTGAAACACTATGTGTGCATTTATTTAATGTCTAAACTCCAAACAGTAATCTCTGTACTAATAAAAATTAGGTCAGTTTTGCTCATCATTGTTATCTCCAATACTTAGCACACAGTAAATCTCCATAAACATTGGCTTAGTGAATACCACAGAATTTGGCTTTAAAGGAATACAGCTTTATTCCAAGTGCTACTTAACTCGGTGGTAAGTGTCCACTCAAGCTAGTGTATTTAAAAAGGCTATTAGATGTATTAATTAGAATTGACTGTTTAGATGATTACAGTACACTAATAACTTTATGTCAAACTTCGTCAGCTCATAAGTTATAGAATGGCTCTTAGCGCAGCTAGGTACATAGGTTTAGAACTCAAATACATCAGTAAGCCTGACACAAAAAGCATCCCCATAATTGTACACCATTTGTTAAAAGATGGAGCAGATGAGAAAATGTAGATCAATTACATATGAATCTATCCCCTCTATCAAAAAAACACAAATAACTATTAGAACAATAACCCTGCTGACTGTGGCTTCTCTCATACAGACAGCGTATATATACAGTTGCAGTGGAGAAGATAATTTGGTATATAAACAGTCATCTGATCATTTATGTAAGATTGTGGCTCTATTACATTTTAAGATATATATAAGATATAGCTAAACAATGACTAAATTTTTCATAGAACTCAAGTACAATTGAATAAATTGATAAATACAATCCTGGTTCTACCTGTATGGTTGGTAAAAACGCGCAGGGTCAGGTGTTTGGATAGGTTCCCTTGGTCTTGAAGATCATCACATCCAAAGTTTACAAGTCTAAGAACATAAAGGACAAGACACTGAATGCATTTAAAAATTATTTCCCTCTTTCACTTAATGCAGTGAGCAATGCATAATTGGCCATGTTGTACACTTGAAACTAATTTAACATACTAATTTAACATTGTATGTCAACCACACTTTAATAAGAAGAATTTTTTTAAATAAAAAATAAAGTTCCCTCACAAAGGACAGTAACCACTATAACATACCCAACAGAAGTAGAGACTGGTCCCTGAGAAATTTAAGTAGATAATGTGTTTGTTTGTCTGTTTAAAAGTTCTATAAAACGGTAATAAAAAAAATACATCAATGGCATGGCTGTGGCAATAGAGAAAAAAATACGTAACAATAAGTTGAAGGTAATAAATTTTTTTCTGTATATATGATTTCAAAATATGCACAACTGAGTGTTTATATACGATGAAATAAAGCTACTGAAATGTAGAATAATTTTGGATTATTATTACTCTAATTCAAGAAGACTTTCGTTTCTTCTGTGCACTAGTGGGCTTGTGTCTTATTTTTCAAAAATGTTCATTTTTTTTACTATACATAAAATAGTCTGGGAGAAGAAAAACTTACTTTTGTAAAGGTGTAAAAAGGAAAACAAACAATAAGGCAACAGACACAGCTGAGCTACAAGTGGATTGACTGCAACATCCTCTTTGTGGCAAAAAGAGAAGGATTTTGATGTTTGATTCTAAATGTAGTCCTAATTCATCAACTCCTTTTGTTGAAGCAAAGGGAGAAGAACATTTCCACAGATCAAAATAAATGGAAACATCCTACAGAAATAAATGACTACGAAAATCAATATGATTGACTTTATATGAAAAATCCTGTGTTTGTGCTTGATAAAGTTGTTTACATTCCCTCTTGAGGACAGGAATATAAAAGGTCACAAACACACACGGAATATCAAATTGTCCTTATATCTGCATGCCATAGATTAGGTATAAATATAATCATTCTGCCCATAAGTATCTATAAAAATTAACAATAATCTACGAGTAACTTACTCAAATCCTGAGGCACTTAATGTTATATCCAAGGGTGCTTCAAACTGTCAAAAAATCATGAGAACACAAACCCAAAAAAAAAAAATAACATTAATTTAGTGACGATAGTTCTGAAACTCAGAGCAAGCCTGACCACGCTGTGCTTGCCTATTGATGAAGAAGAATCCTTTTAACCATCATTATCTTTAGACATAATCCCCTAAATCCACAGCACAGGAAGTCCATTGGGAATATTCTAGAGTTTACATATAATCATAAGCTTGGTGTAGATTTATTTCTTAAAGAGCTAATACTTGGGATCCCTGGGTGGCGCAGTGGTTTGGCGCCTGCCTTTGGCCCAGGGCGCGATCCTGGAGACCCAGGATCGAATCCCACGTCGGGCTCCCGGTGCATGGAGCCTGCTTCTCCCTCTGCCTGTGTCTCTGCCTCTCTCTCTCTCACTATGTGCTTATCATAAATAAATAAAAATTAAAAAAAAAAAAAGAGCTAATACTTGACAAGCTTCGCCTCAGATGTGAATATCATAAATGGTTGTATAACAAGCCAATCAGTAGGGGTACACTTTTACAAGACACAAATGACCATGTATAGAGAGAAGGACTGGGTGTCTTGAGAATAAGTTATTTTAAAAAAGGGGGGGGGGCGGGAGGAGTAAATGAAATTCTTGTAATAGTATGATATCAATCTATATTAGACATCAATATTAATCCTAGTGAAGAATGATATTTTCTTCACCATAGGTAAAGATATTTATGATTCCTCACAAGACTAGCACCCCAAATGGCTTTGCCAAGAGTGATGCTAGATATTTACTAATTAAACTATACACTCTCATTGATGTTTTACCCTACACTCAAATCCACCATCCTCGCAAGTCTTTTTGGGGTCAAATGACTTGTAACCACTTAAAGCTATCTACCATAGGCCATACCTATTACTTCTACAAGTCCTCACTCATGCATGTTTTTTTCTAATGAGAGGCATTCAGTTAGCAGAAATTTCCTCTGTGCTCTTCTACCTACATGTTAATTGTGTGTGTTATAGAGTTGAAGCCTTGAGACGATAAGAACTATGTTACTTGCTCATACAAGTGACTAATGTAACAAGAATGCTAAAATGCTGTTTCTGATAACAGCTCTCTTTAAAAGGAGGCCATGTGTTATAAAATTTCCTACAGCCCAACATTCTCTGGACTTACCATTAAGTTAAACTTCTCGTTAGCAGAAAACTGGATGCATTTTAAGATACTCCTTGATTTCTAAAAGAGAAAACAGAGTAAGTGAACATTACAAAAAAGAAAAAAAATTACAAAGGGGCGCTTGGCTGTCTCAGGTGATAGAACATGCAACTCTTGATCTTGTCAGTTTGAACCTCACATTGGGTTTAGAGATTACTTAAAGAAATAAAATCTTTAAAAGAAAGATCAACTGGGTAGCCTGGGTGGCTCAGTTGGTTGAGCATCCTAAACCTGGTTTTGGCTCAGGTCATGCTCTCCAGGTCATGGGATCAAGCCCCACGTTGGGCTCTGTGCTCAGTGCAGAGTCTGCTGGAGATTATCCCTCTCCCTGTCCCTCTGCCCCTTCCCTGCCCATGTGCATGCACGTACATGCTCTCTAAATAAATAAAATCTTTTAAAAACAATAAAAATAAAAGAACAAAAACATTAGTATAAAAAAAGAAACAAATAAAAAAAGAAAAGGAAGCAACTAAGAGGCGAACAGTAATGAAAACCTTTCATATTTTTAATAAACCTTCATTGACTGTCCCCATCAATGAAAATGCAGTACTTAATAAATTGTAATAATGGTAATGTCAAAATTAAATTGTTCTGGTAAAAAGGAGGCCAGTGGACTAGTTTTTACCTTCAGGACAAGGTAGTATAATCTCTGCTCTGACATATCCCATTGAGCCCAAACAAAATCCTCAGCTACTCTCTCTCTTGGGAGATGGCCAGAGTCTCTAAGAACCTAGAGAGGCAAAGAGATGTTAGTGATAAGCCACTATTTCAAAGGAGAATATATCTGGATTCATTATTTTACATATTATATCTTTATAATACATACAAATATTTCTACAGTTTATTTTTGGCAGTCCCCTGCCCCCAACACATGCACATGGAAAGTCTTCCCAGAAAAGATTTAAGGCATTATTTAATCACTTGCTCTTCCCAAAGACTCTATGATGGACTATATTATTCTTGTCCCTGTTAGCCAGGCAGGCTAGAGCTGTTGAAGGCAAGGCCACACCAACTACAAATCAACACCAAGGCCAATAGAAGATTCATTCTTCCCATTCTGTACATAACCCACTCAGGTATCTGCAGACAGAAGGGCTTTACCACCAAAGACAGCAGCTGTAATGATGAGGAAAAACTAGGCCTGGGGCTGGGGAGCACTGGGCAATGAGCCCAGATCTGCCATAGCTATTCGTGTGTCTTTGGTCATGCTTCTTACCCCTATGTCTTCCACAATGAGTATGGTGATACTGTCCATCCTTCAAGACTCAACTTAGGCACTGTCTCCTGCACAAAGCCTCCCTCACCTCCTCCCAAGGCAAAGCTCCCCACCTCTGTATTCCTATGGTACTTTGGCATACTTCTATTACAGTTACATTTAACTAAAGCCGTAGGTCTACCCCAATGCCTTCTCCTACAATACCTTTATATTCTCAACGTAAATTCTCAACAAGAGTCTAAATTTTGGGCAACACATGTTTCCATTTTTCTGAAGTTTGTTAAATTAGAATAGATTTGGGGACTCTCAGATAAAGGTATATACATGATCATCAGAATGTGGCAACCCAGATTCACATCTCAGTTTTGTCCATCTCTAGAGTTCCGTCACCCCTGTGAGCCTTGCTTGTTGTACTCTCAATAAACCGGAGGATAATTATAATTCTGCCTACCTACCCTACCACAGATGTCATGAATGCATGGGATGGAAGGGAATGGACAGGGCCAGTGGTCAGAAAAGTCAGGCCAGAAAGGAAGGCCTTAAGAAGCTATCATCTAAGCCCTTAAGAATAAGGCCAGTGGGGGCACCTGGGGGGCTCAGTCAATTAGGCACCTGACTCTTGGTTTCAGCTCAGGTCATGATCTCAGGGTCCTGGGATCAACTTCCACACCTGCTCTGCGCTCAGTGGGGAGTCTGCTTGAGGATTTCTCTCCCTCTCCTGCTCCTCCCCTGCATGTGTGCGCACTAAGTAAATAAATAAGTCTTAAAAAAAAAAGAAGAAAGGCGATGATGCTTCAGAGAAGGGCAAACTAGGATGAAGGCGTGTGAGATTACGCTGTGTTGGCTGCTGGCAGGTGCTCCCTGCCCTCACTCTGCAGGGTATCCCAGGGCTCCCAGGCCCCTCTTCTAACCACTATCTACCCATTCGTGGTCTTGTTTAGTTCACTGACTTTGAATTGTTTAGGAGACTCTCTCCTCTAAATGCGCATTGCTGGCTCTGGGATTCTGACTTCATTCTTCCTTCCTGTCCTGACTCTTTGCTGACCACTTGTTCTGTCCATGCCCTGCCATTGTGCACCCCACGCCCCTGGTGGCTTGGAGCTCCAGCCACACACTTTCTAGTCACACTTTTCCAGCCAGGCCTCTTGATTTGAGGCTTTCAATCAGAGATATAAAACTAATAAATGCGTTTTTCCATTTCAATGTTGCTCACTTAAATTTAAAATTAAAATCTTCAGAGAAGGATTATTTTGATGCAAACTAAATATTGAAGGAAATGATTTTTAATATCAATAATAGATTATCTTACACAAGTTGTCACTTGTGTGAAAAAAAGATAACACAATAGAAAAATAGACAAGGATGTAACTAAGCAATTTTCAGAAAAACAAATTCACACAGCCAATAATATTAATGGACATGCAAACTAAAATAATAATGTTATCAACTTAACACTCATCAAACTGGAAATCTTTTTTAAAAAGGCAAATGCACCAATGACTGGTATGGATAGAGGGAAAGGGAACTCTTATGCACTGTTTGTACAACTGTGAATTGTTACAAGGTTTTTTGGAAAGCAATCTAGCAAAATCTGTTGAGATATATTAAATGCATATACCCACTAACCCAATTACCCATCCATGAGGACTTAGCCCAAAGAAATAATATGTACCAAATATGTAAAGCTATTAAAAAAAAAACTATTTGAGATACTCTGTAACCCAAAACAGATGAACAAAAAAAATAGTGGCAATCAAGTGAGTGTCCACCCATGGGAGAATGATTGAAATTGTGTACATCCATACCAGGGACTATTATGTACTTCTAAAAAGAATGAATTGATCTATTCTGGTTGACTTGGAGGTAATGCCACAAAGCTGAATGAGGAAGGAGTGGATAATAAACCCCTGGGTGCGTCAGGGGTGGGGATGGCAGATACACAGGTTTGGAGAATTGCATGAAAGGATACCTAATAGGCTGTAGACAAAAGTCAGAGGTTTTGAAAAGACAAGGGAGAAGTGGAATGCAAGTGAAAAGAAAAGAAAGAAAAGAAAGAAAAGAAAAGAAAAGAAAAGAAAAGAAAAGAAAGAAAGAAAAGAAAAGAAAAGAAAAGAAGAAAAGAAGAAAAAAGAAAGTACAGAAAAGAGAGGAAAGACAGGGAATAAAGGAAAGGAACTATATAAAAAAAGGAACTATATAAACTCCCAGTATATACATTATGACCCCATTTATTCTCTGTAGGTATGAAAATTAGAGAAAAAAACTTCATCTCTATCTGAAAACCTGTAGCGATAGCCCTGGTGTACTAAGTAAAAAGTAAAAACAAAAATGGCCAATCAATCTATATATATCTATATATATATATATATATATATATATTATGATTCTATTTTGGTAAAAACAACTGAATTCATGTATATGTGCACTAACCTTGTGGAAGTGTGTATGAGCTAGGGAAAAAGTCCCACAAGGCTGTCATGAGTTATCTCAGGAGACTGAGACTGAGACTGGAGAGCGAAGTCAAGAGAAAAGAAATAATTAACTCCTTCATATGTCTATATTATTTCTCTGTTTCAACAGCAAGACATCAAATAAAGAAAGCGGTCTTTCTCTATAACATTACTCTATCCTTAACAGTCTTGAAATGTTACTCTGTGGGGAAAAAAAAACAACTCTGAAGCAAAAGAGATTTCAAATATTTACCACTTTATTTCCGTCTTCTTGGATGATGTGGATATGAAATTTTTCAATATCTTTTAAAAGAGAAATGATAGACAGTTTAGCCTTTATGAAAATCATTTAAAAATCACTTTTTACACCTCACAATGCTGAATCTTTATTTATAAAAGAAATGCAGAGTAATCAACTGGCTGGAAAAATAGTAATATCACTGATAGCAATTCATAATATAAAAGTGCAAAACAAAACCCACTTTTCTCCAGCCTCCCTCCACAGTCTACCACTAATCCAGCATTTACTCTGCTCATCAATATCAACAATACGTGCAGCATTCAAGCCTTCTGCTCCCCTCAATATTGGCCTTCCCTGCATCATCAGCCTTATTTGGAGCACACAGGGGTTCATTTGGCAGGGTTTATCTCAACACTTCTTGTATAAAAATATTGGGTAGAAACCCTGGTATTTTTACAAGGGTCAATTTCACAATAAGAAAACCCAAAACAATTTAAGCTGATTTGTAAGGTGGGCCCCTTTCTCTCAGTAAGCGATCTAGATGTGGCCATACTTAACCTTTTGCCAGTTCTAGTTACAAAAATGTGAGATAGATCATTGGTCATGAGCATAGGAACTGAACACAAACCTAATAACCCCCCAGGCCTGTCCTTGCCATTATGAATCAGCAGTTTCATTTTGTAATATGAAAGATGGCTTACTAGATATGATCCGCCAGTGGATTTTGTCCTTTTTCTGCCACCCTTCCCACTCAAAAGTGTAAACTTCATTATAGAATGTCCCACTCTTATTTGCCTCTACCTGAATTTGACCACGTATGTGTCCTCGAATTGTGCCATCAAATTCTTCTGGCTTCTAATACCTTCCCTTTTCTCTATCCAAGGTACCAGACATCTTAAAGAAGGATGAACTAAAGAAGGTAAAAATGACCTCCACAACTGTACTACACTCTACCATGTGACAAAAGTGGAAATCCATGTATATAGGAGCCAGCCCATCATTCCCAGGATTGGGAAACAGAGCAGAGCCTAAGGGAACACGTGGGGGCAGACGGAAAAGCCCTTCCACAGGAGTGCTAGGTCTTAGGTGGACATCAAAGGTCAGTTGGAGCTTTAGCACTGGCGAGTGGACATCTAGAAGATTCAGTCAAGTCCCATACTTCACCAAGAAATGTGCCCTTCATGAAGTTCACATAGACCACTTAAAAGATATACTTACATTTCTCTTCTGAAATCAGTAACAGATGGTTCTCTGGAGGAGGGTGACTTTCCACTTGGGGGTAGAGAAACTGTAAAGACGAAATTCACAAACTCATAAGCAACAACCTTGCTTACACAAATATTCCAAAAGTGTCTGATCACTGTACTATATCACTATATACCATAGAAGGTAGGTACTCAGAACCACAGAATAGGTTAGATAAATAACATACATACACACATTACAGATGGAAACAAGGAGGAAAAAGAACACTTTTAGGAGCCGATTTTTCTGGGGGGAAATTCATGACAGGTCCAACATAATTAATTTAAACAGTAAGGCTAAAGCATAAGCTATTTCTAGAGATGGTGCTTCCTATTTTGGAATACATGATTCTGAAGCCACTCAGAAACAATATAAACAACATCTGTACAGAAAATTCTATTTCACATGCACAAAAAAAGTGATCAATACATCTGTTATGCAACTAAACCTAGTATTTAATTTGTGAACCGAGCAAATGTATGCTCTACAACTTCCAAATTCCCGCATCCAAGAGACAAAGCACAACGTAAAGCGGGACTTTCCAAGAAGAACAATGAGTCACAATGTGGCATGTGGTGGAGGATTTGCAAGCCTCAAATAATAGAATGACTGCGCTGGGAAGAAAAGGCTTGATCCACCCCACTCCTTATCTGTGCTCTGCCTTATGTGCCAGCCCACAGGACAAAGCAGCCAGCCAGAAACACAGGCCTGGTGCTATGAGCTGTGACAATGAGGGAAAAGAGGTCATGAGATGACTCCAGTGACTTAATTCTCTCATCATCAAAAGGGTACCTATAAATCAGCAGTTTCATTTTGTAACATGAAAAGACAGCTTACTAGATAAGAGCCACCAGTGAATTTTGGTTTTTCCCTCCAAACTTCAAAGCATTACGAAAGAACATAATCCTTTTATGTCCCTACTTTAGAGTTGGCAGCCTCTCTAAAGACTATGAAAAATTTTGACAAAATAGGTTACCTGGTGTCCTAACTTTTCATAAAAGTGAAATGAAACAGGACTGATAATAAAAAATGAAAACAGGACTGATAAATTTTTTAAATTGTTTGTTGTAAGTTTTCCTTTTTGGAATCGAAAATCAAAACACTACCAAAAACTTCAAAATTATAAAATAGATAGCAGTGCAGAATTCAGCTATGAAAGTAATATAGAACTTGGGATGTCCTGATTTGTGAAACTGCACATCAAACAGGAAACTGTGTCCTGGGGTTGAGGAGAAGCAAAGGGGAGTGGCACCATACTGATAATGGAAGAGCAAACAGTGCCTCAAAATAAGGAGACGCTCCTACGGAAAACGATTTGGCTTCCCTTGGGACTCCAGAGGTGGCCAAGGCATGCTTGCTTAGAACTGGGACCTGGAGGAAGGTGCTGAAGAGTCCTAAACCTCTGCCGGGTCTTGTGTGGCACTCAGTGGGAACGTGATTTCAAAAGTTCCATTTAGGTGGTGACGGTTTTCCTTTCTATGATGAGGCAGCCCTAGAGCAAAGCCTGGAAGTAAGACTATAGACAGGCTTCAGACACACTCTACAAAAGTGTGTGAGATTTGGTTTTGTTTTTGCGGTGTCAGTAGAAATCTATATAAATTACAACATATTAGGGCAACACTGATCTTCACAAATATGGAGCTAGACTTTGGTTATTAATATTCATAGTTGGAAGATATGCACTATAGGTGGATATGTGGAACAATCTGGAAGATGCAGGTCGTGCTGGTAGGCAAGTTTCAAAAGTACTAGATTGGGATCCAAACCCCAGCCAGTACTGTCTCGCCAAAGTTCCTCTATGAAGGAGGTCAAGGCCGCACACACTGCCTTGTAGAAATGTACTACTGGAGATCACCATGAATGTTTTGGTAAGAAAAGGGAGACAGACTGCAGGCAAGACTAAACTCAGTGGACAGTCAATGGCATTTCTGTGAAGGGGAGCAGGAGGGGGAGAGGGAGTTTGCCCTTGGTGGAGGTTTGCAGGATTTTTCTCTCCCGCGGGGCAGAGGTATGAGGAGCAGGGGGCAGAGCTAGGTACAGAGATGGATCCACAAGACAAGTACAGGTTTTACTTCATTTGGGTGGGGGACTTTCCCTTTGGCCTATGAAAGCAGTCATGCATCATGTACTATTAATTTTTTCAAGTGGAGACAAAATTTGCATAAGAGAAAAATCACCTTTTTAACTATTTTAAAATAGTCAATTCAGCAGTTGTTAATATATTCACAATGTTGTGTAACCATATACTCATAAAAACTCATTCCCTCCTTGTGTTCTAATTAATTCCCTTTAGCTGTCCCAATCTTTCCATAATGTCTCCATTGCCTACACAGCCCTGGGTGGAGACGCTAAGGAAGCCAGAACAGGCCAGAAAAGGGAAGTATGATGTGTCCCACAGTCACCCCTGTACTGTTGACAGTGTAAACACAGCAGCTTCCTGGGGGAGGGGGAGGGCAGCCTAGGAGCTCCACTCCAGGCCCTGCCTATAAGCAGGGGGCAGATGGGAGAGAGGCCCCTCTCCTGACACTCTGCAAGCGGGAGATCCGTAGGCTCAAGGCTGGGAGTAGGTGGGGGAACAAGCAGCAGATAGTTCAGATTCCACAAGGAAGTTATGCTATAGCACTGCAGGAACATGTAACAGTCAGGTGTCCCCTGTGGCAGGCATATTCTACGGATCACCATAAACACCATGCACTGAATTCTGAACCACTGCTCCCGGGGGAAATACGAGGCCGGGCTCCTGCATGGTCATGACATTTGTAGCAACCAATGAATACATAGCTTTGTTTTTGTGTGTTCCTATTTAAAGACATCTTATTTAATATATATTGTTGAGCCGTTAGCATTGAGCTCATGGTCAACAGCGCCAGAAACTCATGCCTGAAGGAAGCTTATCTCACCCACATATTTTCTCTACAACCACATTGCTGCCTTCTTGTGCTGAGACACACCAAACAGCACTTGGGAACTATGCACGGGGAACATTTTAAATAGTGCAATCACCAATGAGGAGCCCCAAACATGTGAGAATTAAGGCACTAAACAACCTCTGTTTACAGTGTGAGCAGTGAACCGTGAAGGCAGTGTCAGTCACCCTTGTTGAACCTCAGCTGAGTGACACATTTTTCACCACTGTGCACACGGCTGCAGATGACTTTAAAAGCACCGTGAGAATCAACTTTGGTTTACAAATAGATTTCAGTGCATAGTACAATTCACAAACTCTGAGTGTGCAGGTAATGAAGACAGACTATGGTCCACCTGCACTATACATACAGTGCTTCTGTATCCTTCCCTGGAGTTGATAAATTCAGGGATTAAGCCATTTATTCATATTTACTGTGTCAACTTAAAGCAATACATTAAATAAACCGTTTTTTAGACTTACCTGATATGTGTCGAGAGTCAGTATTTTATCAAGTAAGAATATTACATTATGATCAGAAAACCCGTTTATAATGGAGACAGAGTAGCTAGGTTGAGTTTTAATTTCCATGTTTCCGTTTCCCAGAGTGCTTTGAGGATTAAATGTGATAATGGGTGTGAAAACACTTTATAAGCACCTTTGCCTCTAGGTTTCACACCTTTTGATTAGTGAGATGAGTGATAACCACATCGTGCTCCTGCTCATGCTCGCTTACCTGCACCCAAATAGAGCTATCCACCGCTTTTAGAACCTTCACATTGTTAACAGGGTGGATTTCAACCAACAAAGTTAAGCACTTTGATCCTACAAAGGAAAGGAGGCTTTTAGTAAAGGAGGCCAGAATGTCATTCATTATCTTCTCCACCTATGTCTGTACTTTGAAAACATAAATATGTTACCTATTGTATTAGTTATTCCAAGAGGAAAAGTAATTTTCTTAAAATTTTCTTTGGCAGTTCTTAAAACGCTTGACAAAAGAAGAAAACCTCACAAAGTTGAAATCAATAGGCGCAGAGTGAGAAGCGAGTTCCTGACCATTCCTCAGCCACTTAGCACAGCCTCACAGGCCCTCTGGGCTCCTAAATCTAAGCAAACACGACTCCATTCACTACCACTCTGGTTCTGCAGCACATGAATGAGTATCACTTGTGGATGAAAATATAAAGATATTTCTGGCGGATGAACATGCTCCAGTACACGGATCCTATTAAGAGGACAGGGCTTCCCTCTGGAATGGTGGCAGAGCTGCGTGGATAAAGACCCACTTATTTCCTCAGTGTCACATTGCAGCAAATGACATAAAAGATAGCAATTAGAAGGAAGTCCTTGGACACAGGCTACAATGGGATTACCACAGAGATCCACATTTAGACCAAGAGTTCCCCTCCCCCAAGATTAAACCTCAGAAAAGGAGTTGCCTTAAAGCTGAGTTCTTGCAGAGCCTAATATTCTCAGGTGCTTTCTCTATGACTTTATTTTGAGTAATAATGTACAATTTTCAGGACAGCACAGCATTGAATCAATGCCAATTTTCACTATTTAAGAAACTAAACTGACAGCAAATAAAGGCAAAAAATGTAAAACAATTCCTACCATATGGCCTTACAATTACAAGCACTGGATATCTCTGTAAACATGCCTTTTAAAGATTACTGAAAAAGCAAGACAGTGAGTTACTACGTGGGATCCCAAAGATATAAGGATGGAACAAATGAAGATCAAATATTGTTTGGTCAATGATACTTGTAGCTTACGATAAAAATCCCAGTGATTGTATATCAGTTCAAAAGGGCTATACTTGTTTAACTGGGATGGAGGTAAAGGTGAGGAGCTTTGTGAATCTGCTAGATAACTAAAAAAAAAAAAAAAAAAAAAAAAAAAGGCTCTAGAAAATAAGAAAGACGTTGGTGTTGAAGTGTTTGGGTGGCTCAGTCAGTTGAGCATCTGACTCTTGGTTTTGCTTTGGCTCAGGTTATAGTCTCAGGGTCCTGAGGTTGACCCCTACATTGTGCTCCAGGCTCAGTGGGGAGTCTGCTTGAGATTCTTTCCCCTTTCCTCTCCCTCCCCCTCTGCTCCTTCCCCCACTTATGTGTGCTCTCTTTCTCACAAATAAATAAAATCTTGCTACCCCATAACCCAACAATTGTGCTACAGGGTATTTACCCAAAGATTCAGATGTAGTGAAAGGACAGGACACCTGCACCCCAACATTCATAGCAGCAATGTCCACAGCAGCCAAACTGTGGAAGGAGCCACAAAGTCCTTTGACAGAGGAGTGGATAAAGAAGATGTGGTGCACATATATACAATGGAATATTAGCCTCAGAAAGGATGAATACCTACCCATTTATATCAATGTGGATGGAACTGGAGGGTATTATGTTGAGTGAAATAAGTCAATTGCAGAAAGACAACTATCATATGGTTTCACTCATACGTGGAATATAAGAAATAGTGAAAGGGGACTTAAGGGAAAGGAGAGAAACTGAGTGGGGAAAAATTAGAGAGGAAGACAAACCATGAGAGACTCCTAACTCTGGGAAACAAACAAAGGATTGCAGAAGGGGAGGTTGGTGGGATGATGAGTAACTGGGGAACAGGCACTAAGGAGGGCACTTGATGGGATGAGCACTAGATGTTATACTATATGTTGACAAGCTGAATTTAAATTTAAAAAAATCTTTTAAAAAAAGACATTAGTGTCAGGCGGCCTGGGTGGCTCAGTGGTTTAGCACTGCCTTCAGCCCAGGGCATGATCCTGGAGACCAGGGATGGAGTCCCATGTTGGGCTCCCTGCATGGAGCCTGCTTCTCCTTCTGCTTGTGTCTCTGCCTCTCTGCCTCTCTCTCTCTCTCTCTCTCTCTCTCTCTCTCTCTCTCTCTCCTGTGTATTCTCATGAATAAATAAATAAAATATTTAATAATAAATAAATAAAGACATTAGTGTCAAAGATACTTAAGAAAAATAGAAATGCTTTGTGAAATGTGAGAATGAGAAAAAAAGCAATTTTCCTTATTACGTTATTTTACATTAAGTGTGTATAATTAAATTAATATACTAAGTAGTACAAGCTGACATTGACTATTTTATGTCTTGCTCTAAAAGTTTACATTTTCCAATTTGGGGGAAAAACTTTTTAGGGGCTAGGTGGGGAATCTTCTCCTTAGAAAAGTAAAGAATCACTTGACTCATATGTGGACTTTTTGGCAGTAGATTTGATAACCAGCTATCAGCTAAATCCACTTGACTTTAAAATGGGACACAAGGACATAAACCATCTTCTTACACTAGTTCTTCCCTTTATAGAGGCATCCTGGACACTTAACTAATATAATAAGCATAATGATAAGAGTAACCGTGCAAACAGGCATTTCTCTCAGTAACATACCATGTGATTTCATGGTGTAACATGACATACTCTGGATTAGGATTCTAGAGATGTCAGTTCTGGTTTACACTCTGCTACTAACCTAATACACATTTTTCAGAAAGGACAATGCATTACTAGGCTTCTATGCCTTGTTACTAAAGAAAAAAACAAAAACTAAAGAATCAGATCGTTTATCTAGTCAGTTTCGGTCACGAAATCTCATGATTCTATGGAGTGCTTAAAGTCGTCTTCAGAAGTTAGAGAATCCAGATGTCAGGGGTGCCTGGGAGGGCATCGCTGTAGGGTAAGGCAGGTCCAGGCAGGATGTGGATACCACAGAAAGTAGAGACAGCAGGAACAGAAGTGACAACTTGGATGGATCTTGAAGGCATTGCACTAAGTGAAATCAGAGAAAGACAAATACTGTATCATCTTTCTTACGTGTGGACTCCCAGAAAGAAAAAAAACCCATGCTCATAAATACAGAAAACAAATTGGCAATCACAAGAGATGAGGGTTGGAGCATGGGAGAAACAAGGGAACAGTTTTTTTTTTTTTTTAGTTTAAATAAATTGAACAAATATTAAAAACAAAAGCACAGGGATTAGCATGGCATTGGCAGGGTGGGTGGGTAGACAGTGGGCAAAGGAATCTGGTCCGAGCCAGGTGAAGACACATGTTGTGAATGATGACAAAGTTAGAAGAGTCCAGCAGTGCCTGGTTCTGAAGCAGCTCTGGTTACTGGAGCTCTTGAAGCAAACCACAGCTCCACAGAGCGGCTGCAGGATTTCACTATAATGGTACAGGGGGTCTCAGAAGAGTCTCAGTGGCAGAGGGGCCCAACACAGGTGGCCACCCCAACAGCTGTCCAGCGGGGATCTACTGTGACCTGCAGCAAATGCAACTCCAGAGGGGAGGGTGAAGGGGCAGCTAGGTCCGCTCCTCTTCCTCTTCCCCTCCCTCCTCTCCTCTTCCTCTTCCCCCTCCCCCCCTTTCATCTCCTCCTTCTCCCTCTCTTAAGTAAGCTCTATACACAGCATAGGGCTTGAACTCACAACCCTGAGATCAGGAGTTACATGCTCTACTGACTGAGCCGCCCAGACATCCCTCGTTTACTGTTTTCTAAACAAAATATTAATCTGCCATGGTCAAAGCCAAGAAGAGAAGCACTATTGATACAAACTGTGTTGGCAAGTGTGTGGACCAAAAAGCGTATCTTGTTCATATGAAAGATGTTACAGTTTGTCTCACTTGCAACGGAAAAATCTCTTCATAAGCAATAGAGTGTGAAACAATACCTCCAGGCAAACTACATTTTATAATCGAATAGCTTATCAGGTCATTCATGGGCAGATAAAATAAGGCTTTCCAAGACATTTGTTCGAAGAATAAAACACCATAATGGATTCTACAGTGCTTTCTGGTCACATCACTTCTGAAATCTTAACTGAACACAAGCCTTGTAGGGTCTCCACGGATCTAGGCCTGTCTTCCTCTGGCCTCAGTTCCTACCACTCTGCTCTGCCCCCTTTTCATTCGGTCTCCTCACTATCCTTGATCAGCGAGTCTATCAAGTACACTCTGGCCTCAGGACCCTGGTGCTGGCTGTTGTTACGGTCAGAAATGTGCTTTCCCCGCAGCCGCGGGCTTGCTCCCTCCCTTCTTTCTGATCTCGGTTTATTTTTTTTATTTTTTATTTTTTTAAGGATTTATTTATTTATGATAGAGAGAGAGAGAGAGAGGCAGAGACACAGGAGGAGGGAGAAGCAGGCTCTGCAGGGAGCCCGATGTGGGGGACTCCAGGATCGCGCCCTGGGCCAAAGGCAGGCGCTGAACCGCGGAGCCATCCAGGGATCCCTAGATCTCTGTTTAAATGCTCCCCACATAGTGCTTCCTAGGATCATTCCTCAAATAAACTAATTGCATTCCAATGCCTGCCTCAGGCTCTACTTAGGGGGAAAATGCAAACTAAGATGAGAAGTAATCTCAGGGGACTGGATCACTTTAGCCCTGAGGGCTGTGGCATGAGGAAGCAGGAGAGTGTTGAAACAGGAAGAAGAATCCACCAGTAGGGGGACCTTATCAAATTCATGACCACCTTGGGACTGCATGGAGCACACCTCAGAATGATCCACTTCAGGGATGGAAAGGGGAGTATTTACCCCTCAGCTACCTGGCCCCTCCATGGTCATGGCTTGTCCTATTGGGAATCCTTTCTGACCATACTTCCAGGTGGCACACGTGCAAGTAGTGAAGAGATGTTCCCAAGACTCTGGGCAAAAAAAAAAAAAAAAAAAAAAAAAAAAAAAAAAAAACGAGAAGCAGGCAGAGAGGCTGAGTTAAGGCCCTGCCTGTCAAATTAGCTCTGGGCAGATCTGGCTCTTACCGCAGCAGCTGGCATAAAAGGTGAGCTGAGAAGATATAAAACATCAGGAAGCCAATATGATATTTAAAAATGTCCATTCTGATATTCTTAAAGATGTGATCAGATAATTTCACTAGAGGTGTATCAAACTTCAAAGACTGGGATCCCTGGGTGGCGCAGCGGTTTGGCGCCTGCCTTTGGCCCAGGGCGCGATTCTAGAGACCCAGGATCGAATCCCACATCGGGCTCCCGGTGCATGGAGCCTGCTTCTCCCTCTGCCTATGTCTCTGCGCCTCTCTCTCTCTCCCTCTGTGACTATCATAAATAAATAAATAAAATTAAAAAAAAAAAAAAACTTCAAAGACTGAGTAAGCAGACCAGAATAGGATTTTTTTTTAAGACATATTTATTTTAGAGAGAGAGAGAGAGGGAGGGAGGGAGAATGTGCAGAGGGGATGGACAGAGGGAGAGGGGGAGCTGCTCAAGCAGACTCTCTGCTGAGCTCGGAGACTGATGTGTGACCCTGAGATCACAACCTGGGCCAAAACCAAGAGTCAGATACTTAACCGACTGAGTCACCCAGGCACCCCCTGAACAGGATTCAATTTAATAAAAGTTAAAATAAAGTTGGTCTGAACATATATATTTTTGAACATATATTTTATAATGTACATAATTACCATTTTTTCTGCAGCACAATTAGGCATAGTTGGTAAACATCACATAAGGAATATAGGTTCTATTGGGTTTACCAGCATAAGGAATTCCTGAGGCTAAAAGGAATAAGGGCCAACAAGGCATTTTTAATAAGGGCAATAAGTAGATAAGTAGGCAATAAGGGCAACAAGTAGAATTTTTTAAAAGCATTTGAGCCAACATTTAACAAAATTTTATGTAAAGGTCCATACTTCTCTCAGTAAATTGAAAAACTGGTCCGACAGGGCTTACTACCCTCCACTGAAGATGGGATGATGCCCCATGGCACACCCCCCCAACACCAGCCTCAACAGCTCACCATGAGGGCAACTGCCACACCTGTCTTGCATAACATTTTATCCACAGCGGCATGCAAAGTGCCTGACCCACTCCATGCACTTACTTGTTGAGTTCTGGACAGATGGGGGATATGGAATGTTAAAAAGAAGGAAAGAATATTACAAAGACAATAAATTATAAAGTGGGCCTTGACAAACGAGAATTTTTATTTAGAATTGGTAGATTATTCACAATATATTATGTATCAGTTAACTGCTTACCAGATGTAAGAAAAAAAATGATATTCTTGAAGGAATAACACCCCCTTCCCAGCCTTTTACACCAGCTTCTGATCATAGGGTTCTAACTTTTCCTCAGTATTGCTCTGTCTGCAAGTGCTAATTGCTTTCTAATACTTCTATTCACTATTATTTTCTGTACTTTGTTTACTTCAAAAAATAATTTAAAAAACGTTTTCATGCTTGACACGGCCTTTGCCTTTTCATTCTGAGATAAAAGCTATTCATAAAGATGTTTTAAATTCGACTTAGTGGTTAATAAATCTTCATCTTTCAATAGGCACTAAAAAATAAAATGTCATACCTGGTTGAAGCTCATTCTTTCTTCCTTCTTTAGTAGAATGAACTAAACTTGCAGCTAATGAAAAAAGAAAAAATAATCCATTAACAAAGAATCCATGCAGTGGCTGATTAGTTTACCACTTTATACCTGAAAAAAGTTAAGGGCTCCAAGAATCTGTCAGTGAATGATTAAGGTAATGCAGAAAAAAATTATTTTTTTGTAAGTAGACTTTTATATTTTGAAATTAATCTTCCAAGAGCATCTTTTCCCAGAAAATCATTGGTATAGGATAGTCAAATATTGCAAAGGTCCAATACTTTGAAACTCAACAAATGTAGTTTACTTCTTGACATGTAGCAATAAAAGAATTCAACTTACCAAGCAAAGTTCTCTCACTGTTGATAGAGCAACTGATGACGTGCAAGTCTTTCTCAAATGTATAGAGATGCTATTAAAACAAAGTTATTTTTTAATTTGGAGTTTTGTATTAAAGAACAATTTTAGAATTCAAATTCCCAGTTAGCTCTGAAACAGGTATCATGGTGGCAAGACATTCTATTAAAGAACCATCAATTACCCAGTCTATCCATACTGATAAGTTTCAGATTCTTTTTTAAGAAAGAAATTTCCAACTGTAGGCCATAGTTGGCACTGAAGCTTAACCATGAGGCAACATGATCTAGTGGCTAAGAACCTAGACCCTGGAGACAGGCTAGATGTAGGATCAAATTCTAATGATGCTACTTACTAGCTGTGTAACCTTGGACAAGTTATTCATTTTTCTATTCTATCAGTAAAATAAAAATCATAATACCTATTTCATGAAATCCTTAGAAGGATCAAGTCAGATGATCCATACAAAGCACTTATTACAATGTCTGCCACTCCTAATAAGCACTTAGATGTCAGCTATTATAATTATTGAAACAAGTAAAGTTTTAATCAAGTTACTTAACTATGATATCATTAACTATGTCTAAGAGACTATCAAGCCCATCTCCTATAAAACTCATATTCAGAGCCTTAGCAAAGTAATCTTCTGTTTTTACTTGCCCTTTTAATAATTTTCTTGCTGTTTGAAGTGTTGCAAGATTCTATTTCCTTATTAAATATTAAAGAAAATGAAAATGGTCATGCAGAAGGAGGATATGATATGCAAATTGAGGAAATGAAGACAATCACAGTTATATTAGGCAAACTCTATTAGAATATCCTCAGAGGGTAAGAAAAGATGAAGAGTCTTAGACCTCGATAGAGAATAGGTTAAGAAAAAACAACTCATAGCGAGAGTATTAGGAAGGTAATTAGTACTTCAGATTTAAAAAAAAAAAAAAAAGCACTGAGAACACACTAAAATCCTATGGCCCAAAGTTGATGAAAAATGTTGAAAAGTCATGAAATGCTTGATTAGAAAAAGTGAACTTTGAGTGAATAAGGAGGCTCTGAATTCATGTGAGACATTTTGGTTTCCTTGGACTCCTGCTCTGAGGCATTCTAATTTACAAGAAGAATCATGGATGTATACAGTTAACTTTTAGTGTTTTACCCTTTTAATTATAAAATAACACATGAACATAGTCTCAGTGTTTAAAACATGAAACACCACCAAATAAAAAGTCAAAGCTCTCCACTATGCTCGCCCCATATGAACTCCCTTCCAAAAGGAAACATGTTTGTAATTTACTCGATAGCCTCCAGATCTTTTTTAAACAAGTTTTTAATATATATTTACAGACACACACACACACATATATATATGGTATAGTTTTCTTAAAACATAAATATATTATTCTGGCAACTTGCTTTTTTCACATAACAGTATATTTTGGAGAACCTTCTGTGTCAGTGTACATTTATAGACTTCTTACTCCCTTAATGTTTGTAAGTTGTTTTTACCTAGACACAAAATGACTCCCTCACATTTGCACCAAGAATTAGATAAGCTTGTCATATCAACCAATGTCCTATGTGGGTGGTGTGGGGAAAAATTAAGAAAAGGAAGCTGAGTTCTATATCTGGATCACTGAGAAGCAAGAAAAATGAGGGTTAAGGAGAAGCAGAACTCATAACCAGAGGTCATTATGAGATCCTAAACTTCTGGGAGCTCACAAATCTTAGAAGACACTGAACTTCCTACATTCCTACAGAATATTGGATAATTGATTTGAGCCAACTTTGCTTAAATCTCAAAGGATTCAAGTGATATTTTGGTTCAGGAGTCCTTACACTTCATTTACTTATTTATCTTTAAAGATAATGGCATCAAGAGATGGTAAAAGAGAGAAGGCAGGCCAAAGAAAGAAAAACTAAATTTTTAGAAAATGAAATAAGAATCTGTAACTACAAAAAGGAGGCAGAAAGAAGAAAAAACTCTAAAAGCAATAACTAATGAGTATCTAAGATTTATGTTTTGTTTTGTTTTGGTTTTTTACCTCATTTTGTCTGGTTCGGCAGTCATATAATCCAAAGGCAACATTTCCCTTACCATCCTTAAAAAAAAAAAATCACCAGATATGTATTATATATCATTGATTAGGAAATTAGGATGTTATTAATCTTAAACCTGCAATAATTCAGTCCATATTACCAATAAGTACTCAGTATTACCAATAAGTACATGCTAAAGGTAGCATGTCAGAAAGGGACCAAACCTATGTCAGCTAGTAATATGGGCTTAAAGAGTGAAATGGATTAAGAGTGTACAGCTCAGGGATCCCTGGGTGGCGCAGCGGTTTGGCGCCTGCCTTTGGCCCAGGGCGCGATCTGGAGACTCCGGATCGAATCCCACGTCGGGCTCCCGGTGCATGGAGCCTGCTTCTCCCTCTGCCTATGTCTCTGCCTCTCTGTGTGTGTGTGTGTGTGTGTGTGTGTGTGTGACTATCATAAAATAAATAAAAATTAAAAAAAAAAAAAAGAGTGTACAGCTCAATCTGGGGACCCTTTCTAGGAGGTAGTAGAACCTAGCAAAGGAGCAAATCTTTCTGTACTTGGGTTTATTTCTTTAAGACAATATACGATAGAGATTGGGAGTGGCTAAAACAAGTCCATGATATTCCTGTAAATAAAACTTTTTGAATCATATAATTCTTTAAATGCAGCACACATATAGAATACAACTTAAAATTACTTTTTTAAAAAATATTTTATTTATGAAAGTAATCTCTATACCCAACATGGGGCTCAAACTCACAACCCCAAGATCAAGAGTCCCATGCTTCACCGACTGCGCCAGCCAAGTGCCCCAACTTAAAATAACATTTTAGCAAATAAATAGAATACACATATGCAGAGTAAGCTAGCCACTGAAATTATTCTTTCATGTTCCACTATTAAAGTTAATCAGTAAAGCTACATTTTCATTCCTTAGAACACTTAACATTGAAAACAATAATGCCTCAAAAGTCTGAGCATACTGAAGTCTAAACAGATGATGTTGAGGAATTATATTTAATATTTTCTGAGATAAATCCTTACATTTTAATTAGGGTTAAACATCTTTCACTTAGCATTTTTCCCTCTGCAAAATGGAACTGTTCACTTAAAAAATTTGAGCACTGTGTCAGACATTGTATATGGTTCTTATTTTAAAAAAAGAAAACATTAAGACTGAATTTCAATCACCTTATTTAATCTCACAAAATAAAAGAGTCATGTAAAAGGTTAAGTGCCAACAAGTCTTATTCATTACCCCTAAGATATAGCATAAAATTCTGTTAAAAAAAAAAACTTAAATGGTTAAAGTAGTAAATTCTGTTACACATATCTTACACAATAAAAAAAGGACATACCTTATAGTACAAATATTTCTATTTCTTACACAATAAAAAAGAATACAGACATACCTTATACGTATAAATAATATTTCCATTTCTTTCAACATTCAGTATACGTAAGCTCTCATAATTATCTTCTAAAATACCTAAAATGATAATAATAGCAAGTTAATACTTAACAGGGAATTTTTTAAATTTACTTTTAAATTTATTATTTTTTTTAGAGAGAGACCATGTGCATGAGTGAGGGAGAGGGACAGAGGAAGAGTGAGAGAGAATCTCAAACAGGCTTCACAGCCAGCATGGAGGCCAACCCAGGGCTCAATTTCATGATCTGGGCTCAATTTCATGATCTGGGATCATGACCTGAGCTGAAATCAAGAGTTGGATGCTTAACCAACTGAGCCACCCAGGTGCCTCAACAGGGAATGTTTAAAAACATATCTAACAAATATTAGTGGAAAGCCAAGTACGAAAGAACACATACTGATGATTCTGTTATATAGAGTTTTAAAAAAGACAAAACTAATCTATTGTGTCAGAGGTCAGAATAGTAGTGACCTTTAGGAAAGAGGAAAGGATTAGTAATTGGGAGGTATCTCAAAGGAGCCTTCTGAGGTGCTGGTAATGCTGTATGGGTTGGCCATACGATATACCCAACACATTTGGCAATAACTCACTGAGCCATACTCTCTTAACCCATATACTTTTCTGTGTGTATGCTATACTTCAATAAATTTTAAGTTATCTATTAGTTTTTGCTCTAAGTATTTTGAAGCTATGTTGTTAGAGGCATAAAAACTTAGAACTGTTATTGCTTCCTGGTGGATTAACCTATCAGGAACTCAGTAGAACTAACTGCCTGGTGTCTGAGTAGTTGATTATTGCAATAAGATAAAAACATAACTTATAGTCAAGCCTTTTAACACTTGCTATGATAGTATAAGCAAGAGTCCATACCAGAGAAGGCACCAGCATCACAGTTCATTTCCCCCATGGAATGACATGCTGGTGGAGGGTTCAGGTAGATCAACAGGGAGGTGGGGAGTCTCTCACTGCTGAAGAAGCCCTCAACAGAAGGCTCCTACAGTGGTGAGGACTCCGGGGCTCAGAGAGTCCATACCACTGCAGGGAGAGGGAGAAGACCTAAGAGTGGAAAAGTACTGAGTCAAAGTGGAAAAGAAGTATCTTCAAGGTTCCCCCCCTTTTCCTACTGAGGTAGTCTCAGCAGAGGTACTTCAGAAGGTCTCTGCTGATGGCTTTTGATAAAGAGGCCCCTGAATGAAGGCACCTGGGCTGAGAATGCAACCTTGGATACGATGATGTCTAGCCAGGGGGCCCTGAGTCTTGTCTACAACTCCCTTCAGGAACTACAGTGCACTGGCTATTCACCAAGTCTGGTTTGGGGAGGGTGGCTTTCCCCTATGAGGCCTTCCAGGTAAAGCTTTCGCAATTGCATATGGTTACACCTGAAAAATCACACATAGCTTTTTAGCCAGGAGCTGGACAAGTTAACCATTTACTACAAAATGTCCTTTATTTTTAATAATTCTTTTTGCTTTTAAGATTACTTTGATATCAGTATAGCAACATCAGCTTTCTTTGGTTAGTGCTTACACAGTTTTTTCCTATTCTTTTATTATTACTCTTCCTGTGTCCTTATATCTAAGATCTGTAGTCTTACAAGCAATATCTTTTTTTTTTTAATGATAGAGAGAGAGAGAGAGAGAGAGAGGCAGAGACATAGGCAGAGGGAGAAGCAGGCTCCATGCACCAGGAGCCTGACGTGGGATTTGATCCCGGGTCTCCAGGATCGCGCCCTGGGCCAAAGGCAGGCGCCAAACCGCTGCGCCACCCAGGGATCCCCAAGCAATATCTTTTATGGGGCACCTGCGTGGCTCAGTGGTTGAGTGTCTGCCTTTGGCTCAGGTTGTGATCCCGGGATCCTGGGATTGAGTCCTGCATCAGGCTCCCTGAAGAGAGCCTGCTTCACCCTCTGTCTGTGTCTCTGCCTCTCCCTCTCTGTCTCTCACAAATAAATAAATAAAATCTTTAAAAACACACACACACACAAGCAATATCCTTTAGAATAGTCTATTTACATTTAATCACTGATATTTTGGATTTTTATCAATTATATTACTATTTATATTCCATGTGACTCAATTGTTTTTTCTTGCCTTCCTCTGGCTTAATCAAAAATCATATTAATTCATTCTCCTACTTATTGTCAATTATACATTCTTTTGCTATTCTTTTATTAGTTACCCTAAAGATTACAATACAAACCCTTATTGTTTTAATATTATATGATGCCAAGAAATGTGAAGCAACTGAAACTCTCATACACTGTTAACAAGAATGTAGATTGGAAAATTTGCAGTAGCTACTGAAGCTGAACATATATGGCTCAGGAATTGTACATATATTGCAACGGATATATGCACATATTTTGACAAATGACACAATTTCTATAGCACTATGATTCATAATAGCCAAACTGGGAACCCAAAATATCCATCAAGAATAAATATATTGTGGGATATCCAAACAATGGACTATTGTACAATAATCATAATGAATAACTTGCTATAATGTACAATATAAATAACTGAGCAAAAGAAGCCCAGGTTGTTCCCCCTCCCAAGAAAGGTATAAACTATATGATTTAATTTATGTATGAGTTTCAAAAGCAGGCAAAATGAATCTATGGTGCTAGATGAGTGACTGCTGGAAAGGAGCATGAAGGAGACCTTTGCGGTTCTATTAAATTTCTCTTTCCTGCTCTGAGTGCTAGTTACATGGGTGAGTTTCACTTTGTGAAAATCAACTGAGCTATGCACTTGTGATTTGTGTACTTATCTGTATGAAAGCCATATTTTGACTTAAAGATAAAAAGATTCTTGGGGCACCTGGGTGGCTCAGTCAGTTAAGCGGCTGCCTTTGGCTCAGATCATGATCCCAGGGTCTTGGGATTGAGCCCTGATTTGGGCTCCCTGATTAGCAGGGTGGGGAGGGAGGGTCTGCTTCTCCCTCTCCCTCTGCCCCTCCTCCCTGCTTGTGTTCTCTCTCTCTCTCTAATAAATAAATAAAATCTTTAAAGAGAGAGAGAGAGAGAGAGAAAATTCTTTACACAAAACATTTGACTTGTGGGACGCCTGGGTGGCTCAGCGGTTGATCATCTGCCTTCTGCTCAGGCGTGATCCTGGAGTTCAGGGATCAAGTCCCACATTGGGCTCTCTGCATGAAGCCTGCTTCTCCCTCTGCCTATGTCTCTGCCTCTCTCTCTGTGTCTCTCATGAATAAATAAATAAAATCTTAAAAAACAAAAACATTTAACTTGTAAGTTAATTGACCATCAACTTTCAGCGAAAAATTTAGTATATTTCTCTCAATTCTACAATTAAAGGGTTTACACATTAGTAGATGCAGCTTTGATAATTATCATCATTAACCGGAGAGAAATGCATATTTCCCCAATTTCCTCAAAATTAAATTGATTAAACTTGACTCATTTTCCCCATACATGAATAATGCTTTAGATGTTAAAATACTGTGTTGAATATGACAAGGTCCAATATTCAGATAAAACATATGCAAACTATCCTATAACTCAGAGCAAACTTCACTTTGCATTCCTGATTTAAAAGAAAAAAATAGGGGACACCTGGGAAGCTGTCAGTTAAGCAACCAACTCTTGATTTTGGCTCAGGTCATGATCTCAGGGTTGTGAGATAGAGCCTTGCATCAGGCTCTGTGCTGGGCGTGGAACCTGCTTAAGATTCTCTGTCTCTCCTACTCTGTCTGCTCCTCCAAGAAAGAAAGAAAAGAAAGAAAGAAAAGAAAGGAAAGAAAGAAAGAAAGGAAAGAAAGAAAGAAAAGAAAGAAAGAAAAAAAAGAAAAGAAAAAGAAAGTAAAGAAAGAAAGAAAACAGGATAAAAAACAAAGATAATTGGTGACCTGGACCCCTGCACTGGAATTGGGGGTGGAAAACATTTCAAAAGACAAAGAGCAGATTTCATAGAAAATTTAGGAATCATCCTGACATCTTCTTCTCCATCCTTCACAGAAAGAAGCTGCCTGGATCTTCTAGGAGTGGAGTAAAGGGAGAGGGGGGAAGTGCTGTTTTTATTTTAATACCAGCATATATACTTTTCGATGTTTATTGAGCTGTCAGACACACTTTCCACTGATGAAAAATAATCACCTAGTCTCTTAGGACAATAATGATTCAATAACTTACTGCTAAATAGCACTTAACAACTTACAAATTTATTTCTATCTCATCCACACTGTGTCAGGAATTATAGGCTGCTGTATTAAGAAAACAATTTTTAGTGAGGTTCAGATGCTTGGCCAATATCATGTAGAAAAAAGTGGCACAAACTAATCTCAAACCAAGAAAAAGGTGAACAGAATGAACTAAGCTTCCCATATCATGCTTACAATGAGACAAGGGATAATTACTGAAAAATCCTTTAAGGTAGCCTTAGTAGACATCTCAAGAGAATTTCAGGGAGTTTCTGTTCATCCTGCACATGACTCAAAACTTCTGGAATGCAATATGTCAATATTTTGAGAAGTATTTTTTTTCTTTAAAGATTATAGGGATACTGGGAGAGACCCTCTCGAAAGTACACTTAAAAGGTTTCAGCTAAGATAAGAAACTCCTTTACAAGAAATCTTGCTAAGAAAGTTCAATTTACTCGCAAAAGCACATCTATTTTCAAAACACTAACAATTAAGAGAAAAAAATCCCCAAGTACAGATGACAACAAATTATATATGCCTGTTTCATTAAACCAGTGGTTCCCAACCCTGGCTTTGGGTTAGAATGATTAGGGAGAAGCTTTTAAAAGTACCTAGATGTCCAAGACCTACCCAAATATCTTGATTTTCCTGCACTGGTGAGAAGCCCAGTCTCCAAGGTGTGTGTGTTTTAAATTCCCCATGTGATTCTTTTTTTAATTTTTATTTATTTATGATAGTCACAGAGAGAAAGAGAGAGGCAGAGACACAGGCAGAGGGAGAAGCAGGCTCCATGCACCGGGAGCCCGACGTGGGACTCGATCCCGGGTCTCCAGGATCGTGCCCTGGGCCAAAGGCAGGTGCCAAACCGCTGCGCCACCCAGGGATCCCTCCCCAT